TTCCTAGCTTTAAGAGACAACTACATAAATACATTTTTAGAGAACGTACCAGAGTGAAAATGCAGAGAACACACTCTCGTCGACAGGGGTGTGTGATCGAAAGTAAGGTCCTTTCTTCTAATTGCAGCCAACCAAGCAATCCGACGTCTCCTTGTCAGGTCAGAGAATTGCTCCCCTTGATGCTTTTTCCATTTCGGTAACCTAAAAAACTGTATCCCGTTGTTACTAGGTTTTCCATATCCATCGTGGGAGGTATTGGAGCAGTTTTTAACGCAGCAGTTATTTCCAGGCATGATAAAACAGTGCGGAATAGCAAGAACCTCCGCTACTACCGCGTTCACAACACACGTAAACAAACTGTACTGCCGCCACCGGTGCGCAGCCAATATGTCGGCAAAGGGGGGATGGGGAGGGGGGACTCTGTGCCGTGACGTCAACTCCTCATTCTCAATACAAGCAAACAGTATACAGTCATAGACAGTGAAAGTCATAGACGTTACTAACGCCGTTACTTTTTTCAGTAACGAGTAATCTAACTAATTACTTTGACAGTAACTATAACGCCGTTATCATTTCCGACATCCCGTTACTGCACGTTACTCAAGACGCACAATGAACGTGTTGTCATGAGAGAAGGGAGGATGAGAAAACCTCTCAGCAATTATTGGCTGATGTAAAACATATTTCCTTTACAATCTACATGTCTACAGTTGAGAGGATGGCTCATAAATTGTGTTTTTGAAACAAATATGGGTCTTAATCGCGCTCAACCACGGCTTGTATCACCGTGAGGTCAGCCTCAGAGGAGCGCATGTGAGCGCAGAAGTCGGCTTCATACAATTCCATCGATAAGCTCCTTTCTCTTCCTGGTTTATAGCTAAAGACAGCAACAGGTTTGGCTAACATACATATAACACATTTTTACATAATCTAAAATGCACATAGGATAATTTTTCAATTACTATAGGAATGATAAGAAAGAGAGGTGAAGTGCAAGACGGTTGATTTTAGAAATTGGATGCACACTGCTGCCGCTAGCAAAACAGAGGAGTTTATGGAGGACACACGCGTTTTGTTTTACTTTTTAAAACTCATTGGACTCATTTCCGAATGGAGGATTACATATCTACGCTCAAACCATTAACTGGATTTAAACAAGGAACTGGTCTGAACCGAAGTGGACTGTGCAGGTCATTTATAAGGTATAGCTATAAGGTAAGACACATAACTCATAGTTTTGCGTTTTGTATGAACAAACAATGCGGGCATAAAACATATTTTGCTGTAGCCAAACAAATTGTCCACTTGATTTATATGATGTATATGTTCATCTGATTGGACTGAAGTCAGTGCTTCACCAGCCTCACCGCTCGTCACCGGTGTTTCCACATTCACAGTGGCGGGTGTTGGTGTTTAGTGCTTACAGCACAGTGAGAGATGAAGAGTGAACAGGACTTCAGCAGCAAAACAGCCTTTTCTAGATGGAAATATTGGCACTATTTCAGACTCACTGAGGTTAAAGGTAAAAATGCGCACGTCGGGTGCACATTATGTTCCAGAACAAAACGAAAAAGTAACGCAATAGTTACTTTTACTGGTAACTAGTTACTTTTATAGTGGAGTAACTCCGTTAGTAACTCAGTTACTTTTTGGGAGAAGTAACTAGTAACTATAACTAATTACTTTTTCAAAGTAACGTGCCCAACACTGGTCATAGATATACCGAAAGTAAACAGAGAAACAGCATAGAGTATTTACATGAACAAATTTACAAAATATTTACAGATTGTTTATCCTCATCATAATGACACCATGATGTTTCTATACAGTCTATGGTCTATACCCACACATACACACACACACCCACACAAATGTGTGACTAATTTGCGATTAATCGCAAGTTAACTATGAAATTCATGCGATTAATCGCGATTAAATATTTTAATCGTTGGACAGCACTATCCAAAACGCTTTCATTACTGATGTTTGTGTAGAGACGCTGTTAGCAAAACGATATGTCCTGCATCTCAATGAACCATATCTTATCTCTCTAGAAATCGACAATGTCAAAAACGGTCATATCAAACCTCCTTCTGCCGCTGTTTTTCACTGTATTTTGATTGAAGCAAAGTTACTGAATTCATCGAAGGAAAGTCAGGGAAAGCGCTCCAAGCAAGCAGGACGGAAGCTTCACTCATGACCCATAACTCAAACCCTAACCCAAACACCGCAGAATGTGATGAAAAATTGCTCAAATTTGGCTAAATGTATCATAATTTCAGAACATTTTGATTGCCTTAAAACAAGATTTGCCAATGGGACAAAGCTAAATTATTTTGTTTTAAAAAGATACAATAAATGTCTCCCTGGAAGAGAAAATAAGCAACAGTTTTTAAATAAGACTAGATGGATTTGTCCCGTTGGCAAATCTTGTTTTAAGACAGTCAGAATGTACTTAAATTAGGATAAAAACAATCAAAACCACTTGATTCAAGCAATTATTACCTCATATTTTTTATATCAGTTCTGTTTAGCTATGCACAAAACTGAAGGATCTCATCGACACTCTTTTTCTATACTGTGATTATTTATGAGTTGAATGCCTTGTGTGATTGTTATCTTGTTTTGTCATGCACATTAAGCTGTCTTGTGTGTGAACTGCCAGAAACATCAGCGCTGTTCTCACTGGCAGTGTGTGTGAGTGTGTGTGTATGTGTTGGATTATGTGTCCGCACGTAAACTCTTCTGTGTATAGGCACGTCTTGGTTGAGACCTAGTTTAGACTGGGTCCAATTCTTGTTCTGAGACATCACCAAATAGATTATTTTAAATCTGTCAGATTGTGTTTTGTTCTGCTAGAATATGATACCAGAACCACCTATGATACTAACCCCACCTTAGAACAACACCTGCTGACGATGGAGCGAAAGGAAGGAACCATAAAAGGAACCATTTTCAGCTTGAAAAAAGCTATAAGGCAGCGGGCTAGTCAGTACATCCCACTCCCTTCAATAGCATAAAACTGTTATTTGAGCAGAGAGATCCAGAGCTTTAATTTTGACATTTAAAATACAGTGATATACTGTAAAACATCAGCATACTGTTTCAAGTCAGGCGGCCCACAATGCAATGATTTTCTGTCTGAAAAAGCAAATATAAAAGTTTGAGTCCAAAAATACTTATGATACTACTAATACTTTGATTGTACAGCTTTTGAAGTTTAAAATTCAAGCACTTTCAAGGTAAAATGGGAACTTTTTTAAGGAACCGATGCTAATATAAACATTATTAGACCTGAATTAAATTGGATGCGCTTTGGACCAAGACACTTTTGCGCTATAACTTACCGTTATAACATACTGTGACCCTGGCGCATACCTGTCCACACTGGGTACATTATGACCACGTTACGGTTGCACACTGGACGTGCTGTTCCCAAAGCGGCGCAAAGCCACACAGTCTACCCTACATAGCGGGCGCTATTGCCCCAGGGTCGGAACGCAGAATAGCTAATAGCAAGGATCTGTACGAACCCTGTGTGATTATTGGATTTGTTTACAAAGTTGTGCAGTTTAAAAGATTTTTCCCAGCGTTATATAAATGGTAAATTAGAGATGTGATTCACATACAGTATTTCCCTTTCATATTGTTCTGTCAGATTACTCTTTGGCCATATCGCCCAGTCTTGACATATAATTTAGAGTATGTTGATGGCAGTTACTTAAATAATGTTTTGAAGTCCAAAAACTGAATTCTTCAATGTGAGACATTGCAGAATCAGACAACATTTGTCGCATGTATTTTTTTTAAGTTTACATGGGTAGTTTGAATGATAGATATTATCTGTGCTTAATTATACCTCATCTAACAGTTATAATAGTGAATTAGTACTTAATCTTTGAGTCTTTGTTATATTGTTTTGTTCCATATAAATAGATATTATTTTTATCCCACACTGTAAACCCGGATAGTGGGCAAAAAGAATGCTTCCTAAGGAAACTCGTTCTCTCAATAAAGATTAGTTTTAGAAATACCATAAACATAACAATATAAGTTCCCTTTATAAACACTCACTAGACTAACTTACACATTGTTTGTACTAATCCGTTTTAGTTTTATAAATGCCATGAACATAACAATATAATCTCATTCGACAGTCATTTTAGTCTTAAGGTCATGAACCCTATATCTCTCAAATTGAGAAGCAATAATTCTTTCAACTCAATTATAGCTTAGTTTCAGCCAAGTACAGCATGCAAGCACAGTGATCTTTACTTTATATTAAAACAATATGAAATGATGACCCAGGCACTACAGGCCTACTTTGGCTTGGCCCTGTCGATTACGGTTGGTAAAAATAACCCTCTAACCCCTCTAACTTAGTAATTTACCTAGTTTAGTAATTATTGCTTAACATTATTATTTCATCCAGCATCATGCAACAGTAGTACAAACAGCTCGTAAAGATTAGTAGCCACAACTATTTTGACAAAAACATATGAGAGTAAGCAATGACAACTACACAGTTCAAGGGTTTACAAGATCCAGGTTTACAGTACAAAGGGGAAAATCAAGCGCCTGCCAGTAGACCATACAGATAATAGACAGCAATCATTACAATGATTGTGATGCATTTCAATGATAAACCTGCCTTAAACCAAGTGATAGAGAGGCCCCTATGAGGTGGGTTTAGAGTAGATACAGTGACTCAAAAAATTATCCACAAAGGAAACCATTACAGGGTTAAGCAGGCAGGCATGTAGAACTAGATGCTGCCCTCCGCTGGCTGGTGAGAGAAACTACATTGGTGCATTAGAATCTCTCTATTCAAGCTCATGCTTCACATTTACACACATGTGTATGTGTGCATGTATGTATGTATATATATATATGCATGTATGTATGTATGTATTATATATATATATATAAAATCACTACATATAATAATAATTTCTGTGTTACACAGATCCTGATCCAGCAGAACTTGGACAAACAGCAAGATGTGGAAGAAATCCACAAAGGTGACCGACCCAACTGCCGCAGGGCAGGCAGGTAAGTGCGGCCCCTGACCGTGTTATGGTATGAGTTGTGTCTCTGGTCTGAGCGCTGCTCACCACCGAGATGAAGAAAACATTTATTGGGCTGAAATCTTGGTTCAGAGCGACTCAAACAGTGCAAAGAAGTCACAACAGACAGAAATAACTTGGATCGCTGCCACACAGAAGATTATATAAGTGTGCCAAGGTCTTTCTTACAGAAGAGGAACGGGAAGGCGTCGGAAGAAAGCTCTATTCTGTTCCATATTGCACATTTTCGCAGAGAGAGAAATGAAGATAAGCCCGGTAGCAACTTCTTTGTGAAGAGGACGAAGTCCAAGTAACATTCAAGGGATTTCAAATCCCCCTCAGTACATCTGCCGGCTGTCAGAAAACTTGACACTATACACTTTATCAACAAGAGAAGAAAAATAATATTTCTGAAAAAGTAAACAAGCAGCTACAACTTTTGATTGAAAATCAAACAATGAATTGTGCTCACGTACAAATGAAACGCGTCACTGAACTGAAGGAACACACTTCAACAAAGTACTCATCAGATTTCACCTGCAGAAGATGGATCCACTACGGCCAATTTACAGATGTAGCATTATGAGAGATTATTGAAATTAATTTCTACCAATTTCTTCCCCAAAGAATGTGCAAACATTTGTCTCAAGCACTGCACAGGGATCATCCTGAGAGATCACCTCTTGAAGCTAAGTCTAATGAGCCGTTGCACAGCATCATGACCAAATGCTGCTGTGACGCCACTGCTAACACTAACCTCTGTGTCTGTGTGCGTCTGGGTTGTCTAAACACTGGCCTGGCTCCAGCTGTGTGTCCCTGTGCTTCCCACAACTCTCCGGGAGTTGTACTTGTTGTGTTTTGTGTGTTAGTATTGAGTGTGTAGTTTGTATTGTGTTTTGTATTGATCCTGTCAAAGTGCCGCTCTGCCATGGTACTTGTCAGGATTCATAATTACCTGTCCTGTTCCCTCTCCTGCCTTTTGTTGTTGCGTTAAGTCGGCGGCACAGAGGGAGGTCACCCAGACGACAAAGGTATGCAAGCCAGAACGTCTTAAATCACAAAAGTCCATGTTCTGATGGAACTGCATGCTTTTATATTGATGTTGCATGGTCGACCACCTCCATCACCTCAGAGGCCTTCACAACAAGCCAATCATGGAGGCTTCAAATCCTATAAAACAAAGAACCGTGTTAGGTAGTATATCATAATTAAATGGATAAACAGAAAGATGCTATATCCTTATGTTTAATACATAAAATAAACAAGGTAGGGTCTGTAAAACATAAAAAACTGTGTCTCAATATTCGTCATGTGGTTACAATTAATGTTCAGGGAGGCAAATTCTTTGTTTTTACTACTGAAATATTTATTATGTCTTTATTATACAGGGGAGGGGAAAAAGGCATTCTATATTTAGTCTCAAGTAATATTAACAGCAGTGGTAGAATCCGGATGATACTATTGGGTCAAGGGTAAACATGACTGTTGCAAAAAGTTGCAAATAAACAAAAGTAGATGTTAATTACTTAAATATAAATATGAACGTCTTAATTCATATAAAAAGAAAAATACAACTCAGTATAATTAATAAAGTATCTTATGTCAGGAAAACCATAAGTACATTGCAAATGTCGCAGTTGTTATTGTTCAAATGCGAGGCCTGCGGTCTCTAAACATGTGAACAATGTATAAGTAGTGATTTATAAAAATGAATCAAATTAAGATTAAGTTTAAGAGATATTTTAATCATCCCCCAGTGGGGAAATGTCAGTGTTGCATCACCAGTGACAGAACAGTAGAAATGAAGGGCACACAGCACAAGATAAATTAACAATAATTCTATACTAAAATATAATAAAATCTCTAAATTTAGCATAATACATTTTGAGGCAACATTTGGTGCAGACTATGGTAGTGTTTTGGCCTCTTCGAAATGCAATCCAATGGTCAAGTGGCTTTACATTTAGTAATTACAATATGCATTTGCAATTTGTAAAAACTTGTATTGAAACTCTAAATAAGCATTTTAGATTTACATTTGAGAGTTAAAAATTGTCATGAAAAAGCAGACTGGCAAAGTGTTGAAACACTTTGACTGATGCCTGATCCCTGCATCCTGCAGACAAAGGCCAGGATGAAATCAAACAAATAAGATGATTAGTCACATCCACAGGCAGAGTGCAGACTGAAGCGTGTTTGGTTTAAGCTCATTTGAGATGTGCGCAAAAATGAGAAGTAAATGTAAAGACAGCGTGTTGTACTGGTTCTGCTGTACACTGTGCTGTTAATCACAGACAAGAACATTAGTGCTGTCTGCAGAGGTGGTGCAGATCTCTCATGAACCAGAAGGAGGGTTTGTGTGTGTGTGTGTGTGTGTGTGTGTGTGTGTGTGTGTGTGTATGCGTGCATGTTGTAGTGAATCAATGTGACCTGGTGAGAGCCTGTCCACATAAACCTCAAAGAAACAGTTGAGACCTTTTGCAAATATCCAATTAAGAAGATGCAAAGGTTGTGTATAACATTATTTTACAGGAATCGACAAATGACCACATTTGAATAGTCAAATGTAAAAAAACAGAAAACAAATTGCATGTTCTTTTTTTAAATTTCAAATAAAATGTGCTCATCCAAATTAAAAAAAATACTAGAATGACAAAATGTAAATCTTTGACGATTGCATCTGGAATAAAGAGACCACGAAACTTCCATAACAGACAATTTCAGTTGCACTGTTGCATAAAGTACTTCCAAAACAAAAAGCAAGAAAACATCAACATACTTTGATTATCCTGTGAAACAAATCCAATAAAGGTGGCCTCACCACCTGAGCTCACGGCCAAAATAGGAGTGTGGCGATATGTGTATAATGTTGCAATACATGCAATACATGCAGTACATACTGATCTGAAGCACAGGACACGGCGAGGACTCAGTCCTAAGTTCTAGGACCACAGACTGTTATCTACAAACACAGGACACAATAACATCATCTCTGAGCCATTTGCATTTGAGATTCACAAAATCTGTCTAAATAAACAGAAGCGCAATCATAGCGTCAACAAAATAAATACACATCTAAAATGTTGGCCACGTGAAACCATTGCATCCCTGAAATAGATATTTTTTGTTTTCAAATTATAACAAAATAACATAAAAAATGGAATACCAACAATATTCAATAATAAGCGCTGACACTTGTAAATAGATCTTTAATCTGATGAGAACATGCATGACAATACATTAATATGAATTATAATTATTAATCATATTAACCTCTCAGTGGATTAAACACAGTCACAGTCTGTAATAACAGATTAAAGACTCAAGACTACACTTTGTTCACTACCTGTTTATGTATTTTCTAATGACATGTGACAAACTCTAATGTCTGTATTGTATCTATTTTAAACGTACATTTAGCAAGCATGGGAAATGCAAACAACAATTTAAAGTAAGTACAATAAACAATACTGGTTTGGTATGGTTATCCATAGTGATTTGCTGCCATGCTGACAGCAAGCAAGTTTAATGTATAAGGGATAGAGAGACAAAAGTTGTTTCATTTAATATAATCTTCTGCTCTAATAAGTCTATGGTATGTGACTAGGCATCAAGAAGAAGTCCAAAGTGCCTGGGGTCATGATCACCCAGTTCCAGGAGGAGCTTCCTGAGGGAATGTCCACTCCTGATTTCACTCGCAAACCTATTGCCCTCACTATTCAGGAAGGTAAAGTTCTTGTTTATGCTATTCTACATTAGAGCTCTCAGCAGTAACACTAGTAACACTAGTGTTGTGAATTAGGCAAAACCGCCATCTTTAAATCTATTGTGATTGGAACACCCACACCCACGGTCACATGGAGCCGAACCAACGGGGAGATCGTGTTCCACCCCGACGTTTGCCAACAGAAATATGACGAGTCCTCTCAACAACACACTTTGGAGGTAAATGCACTGTATACTGTACACAGTGTGAGAATAATGATAATGACTGGGTTTTCTTTGCTAGTTTCCTAAGGTTGCTGCGGAAGACGCAGACACCTACAAGTGTTTTGCTAGCAATGAACATGGAAGAGCAGTTTGCACTGTGGTGTTGAATGTAATTTCAGGTGAGGAACAAAACATTCTCAATGAGCTTGTCTTTGTGCAATTGTTAAAAAAAGTTGATGAGAACATAAGGGTCTGGGATTTCTCACAAGGAGTTGTATTTCAGGAGGCGGGCCTCGTCAAAAAATCATTGTATGTGTATCTTGAATGACATTCTTCTTCAATGGCTCACAACGAAGCACACAAATCCTATAGTTGCATAGTTTGGATTGACAGGAGTATTTGACTACTTAAACCAGGGGTGTGTCTATGATCTCAAAGACAACTTTGGGTTAGCAAGCCAGAGGGCCACATAAAATGACATTGAGGGCCACAATTGGCCCCTGGGACTGTACGCAAAACCTTTACTCTTAAAACCCACATATCACAACATGGAAAATTCAACATCTCGCCTCAAATGTGATATCCGTCTCTTAATTTGTTTGTATTTAAACTTTCTAAAACAATTCGCAGACTTTATGTCCGCCATGTTGGTTTGCTTTGGCTGCCGTGAGACGCGCATGCGCAGGTTTGCATTACATCATAAACAGTTGAGGCAGCGGATTTCGAGAAGGTGGTGCAAACCAACGTTACACCGGCAATCCTGATTGGTTCATTATTTTTTGCTAACTTGAAGGAGAGTGCATTGCCTTGTGGGGAGCTCAGAAAAACCCCTGGAGAATGACGGAACTACAAGGATCTGGCGAGAAGAGAATAAACAAGACAGTACACTTGTCGAGTCAGAAAGGCACAATGCAATCCAGAGCCATAACATATAATTCAATCGGACCAAAAGACAGTTTTGGTTCTGGCTAGTCTCAGGCTCAATTGATAAGAAAGTGACCCGCCTTTGTCCGAATGTTACCAATGGATTTTAGTGCAATGTTACTCAATTATTAATCTTGCCATAACATGCTTCAATTAAATGGCTTTATTCATTTTTAGTTGGGTTCTCAAAGACTAAGGAACTTCAGAAGAACCAAGGAGAAGGTAATGTTTTGCAACGATCACAGTACTATTGAAACATTTTGTCTTAACATGACGTTTCACTCATAACTTTACAGAGCCAACCGATTTCAGAAAATCACTCAAGAAAAGGTAATATAAATGGAAGCCTTTAACAATGGAGGAAAGAGTAGTGCAGAAAGATCAGACATCAACACATTTGCATTGATAGAAACCCAGATGGAAGCCGTGAGCAGAAGCCAATGGAGACAGAGGAGAAGGTTTGGGAGATTCTCCTCAGTGCAGATAAGAAAGACTATGAATCCATCTGTGTAGAACATGGCATCACAAACTTTCGCGGAATGCTCAAGAAACTCTCTGAGATGAAGAAGGAGCGGGAGGAAGAGATTTCAGAAGTACATCAACATTTATTGATTTATCTGGTGGTTTGATTAAGGATATGACCAAGTTTATGTAAACAATGTATGTCTTTTCCTAGTTTGTCTCGCACATTGACAAACTGAAACATATTGAGGTGAATGACGACGACTGCGCCACCATTGAGCTGGACATGGACCTCAAAGATCCAGCCAGTAAAGTGTTTCTGTACAAGGTTTGTACGATTAACTCTCATACGTCACTCAAACTGCACACCATCCAACTGTGACAACAGAGTAATACTAGCAACTGTTCTCACTCATCACTTCTTTCAAAAAGTAACCCGTTATTTGACTTAGTTTCTCTCTAAAGAAAGTAACTTATGAGGTTATTTTTTGTTACTGTTTTTAAGCTCAACTTGAGCAAAATTGTTCTTAAATTTCACTATGAGTTTATTTCATGCTCTTTATGCCACAGAGCATGTGCACATTGAGTTGTTGTATTTCATGAACACAGCTCTCACTCGGGGGAATCTGTTTAGGGCCACCACTAGCGACCACAACCTCTTGCTTCACAATTCAATGTGGAATGAGAACTTAGCGCGAGTCGTGACTGATGCAAAAGCAGCAGCAGATGATCACAGCTGCCTGTGGTAAACAAAAAGTAACAATGTGGCGGATTGAAAAAGAAACTGCTTTAAGTCGCTAAATTGTTAATTAACTTTTTGCCAAAAAAAGTAGTCAGACCACAGAATAGATGGAAAAAAAGAATAGGTCTAAGACTTGCACATCTAAACATGACAAAATGTGCAAAAGTTCAAACTGTATTAATGCTTTCCAAAGGCGTGTATGTGTCCTTCATGGATTTTACAAATGGAGTCATTGGAACATGATATCAGCAATGAAGTTGAAGATTGGTCACTGATTGGGTGTTCCAAATGTGCAAACCTGACTGAGTAAATTTTTGGTCAGGAAGAATGGGTAAAACTTCCCCCTGATTTTAGAGTGGTTCCTCGCCGATGCAGGAGGTTGTGATTATCCAGGATACTCGACACTCAACAACATTTATGGACATTGTTCTCTGCCCCTTATGGACCAAAGGCTCTATGTGATTGCATTGAATTGTATATACTGTATGTGTGTATAACTATGCTTAATGTTTGTGATTTCCTAGGATGGTGTCATGGTCCCATTAACCAAAGAAGACTGCGACGGACAGAGACACAGTTTAAAACAAGTGGGAAAGAAATTTATCTTTACCATCAAAGGTTTGGGTAAAGAAGATGCTGGACTTTACTCAGTGGACGTTGGAGGCTGCAACGTCTTTTCTACTAACTTAAAAGGCAAGCTGTCAAAATGTGGTATAATACACTAAGATCATAAGCCAGGTGTTTAAAATCTATCAATCATGTTCCATGCAGCTCCTGATGTCGAGTTTGCAGTGAAAATCCAAGAGGTGAAGGCAGAAGAGAGAGGAGATGCCATGTTCCAGTGTGTCCTCACAGCTCCATTTGAAGGAGTCAGTTGGTTTGGTAAAAAGGCTCCACTATCTAACGGAGAGAAGTTTGAAATCAGCATGTCAGAGGATAAACTCATCCACACCCTTATCATCAGAGACTGTGCCCCTTTGGACGCAGGCATCTACGCAGCCGTGGCGGGTGTCAAGTCATGCAATAACTGGCTCATAGTGGAAGGTGATATTTGTCATTCTTTGTTACATTTGTACTTTTTTGTGGATCAATACAGTCTATCTAAGTCTAAAATAACTTTGTTATTATTATTCTAAAATGTAAAAAGAGAGAGAGGGGACCAGAGGTGATGAGAGCCACCCATACACCAGCCCTCAGCCACTTTCCTCTTCCAATTGATTTCATAGCAAATCTTACTGACTCTGGTTAATGAAAGAAACAAGGTCTATATTACAAAAGATTTACAGTACAAGTTTACATCCTAGCAAAGGTGGCCAGGAGGTAGCAGAACTATGGATACAAAAACCCCCAAACATTGGAAGCTTTGGAAATCACCGTCAAAAAGGGGCTTCATGAAAGTACTACGGATATACATTTGAATCAGGATGTGTAATGTCATTATCAAAATAAAATATAACATGACTATTCTCGGCTTTTATTGTTGAATTATATAGCTGACAAAGACCCCAAAGGAAAGAAAGGAGAACGCAAGACCACTATGGCAGGAGCAGCCAATCCTGAGGAACTGGCTAGAATAGCAAAAGAACAGCAAGAACGCTATGAGAAAGAAATGGCCGAGAAGCTGGAGAAGGCCAAGAAGCTGCAAGCCGAGAAGGAGATCGCAGACGCAGAAGCGAAACTGGAGGCAGAGGCAGCAAAGAAGGAGGCAGCTGAAGCTAAAGCAGCAGCTAAAGCTGCAGCCAAAGCTGAAGCACAAGCCAAGAGGGCCGCCAAGATGGCAGCCGCACAAGCCGCTAAAGAGGAGGCTGCAAGGAGGAGGGCAGAAGGAGGAGGTGACGGAGGAGCAGGAGGAGCAGGAGGAGCAGATGGAGCAGATGGAGCAAATGGAGCAAATGGAGCAGATGTTGGTGGAGGAGTAGATGGACTTGACGAAGGCCTTGAGGATGAGTTCTCTGATTCTGACGACTTTGAGAGTGAAAGCGCAGAGGGAGGATCTGCAGCAGATGGAGCTGAAGGAGCAGAGGGAGCAGAGGGAGAAGAAGGAGATGGAGAAGGAGGAGCAGGAGGCAAAGGCAAAAGGAAGAAGAGAGCCGGGCAACTTGTTCCAGACACAGTCGTAGGTAAGAGAATCACACATTCACATTGGTATGATTGTTCAAGCATGTTTGAAAGGGACACTCAAACAATATACTAGATTTAGGGCCTCATTTATCAAGCATCAGTGGCACATAATTTCAAAATGCACAAAACTGTAACCATCGAAGCTTTAATGATATATGACAGTCAGCTTTGTAGAAAAGTATTTTTTCAGGGATACTCTGGTCCCTCGGGACATGCAAAGTACATCAATTTTCTTCCAAGATAACAACTTTTTCTGTATCATAAAGGTTGAACCCATAATGGAATTAATGATAATACTAAGGTCCAAGGTCGTGCCATTGAAACAATGGCACGACCTTGGAGGCTTCTTAAAAAACTGCTGAAAACATTGACTTAAATGGAGACACAACTGCAGATGTATTTTAAGATCACAACTCGAAACAATACCCAGGAACAATAAAGTAAGGTAGCTGGATAAGAGAGTGTTATGGATCTCCACGAGTTGGCTTAATTTTTGTATTTGTTTTTTGTAATCTATAAAAAGCCCATGTGAATGTCTGTCCATCACACCAGAGCGCGGCTGCTTTGTCCTAGAGATTCGCATGTTTTGGTTCCAAATCTATAGATCATCTACAGCTGAATAAAAATTGTCAGTATCCAAAGAAGAAAAAGTCCTTTACTCAGACATGTTTCTGAATGGAATATGCAAATTAGATTGGGATCATTTGCACTACACTTAATTTAAAAAAAAATTGCAAATCCTGTGCTGGGATTACCCTCTCTGGTCCTGCTGGAGAGACTCATTAAATCCTACTCTATAAATTGAATAATAAATGTAAACAAATTAGTACACAGATCATGCAGCACCATGGATCTATTATATTAACTGGATAGGGTATTGCTAGCTTGGAGCTGAAGAACCCATGTGCTCGAGGGATTCTCGCGGTACTGCAGACTAAACAAGACTAAATTCACGTGGACTACCCAGAAATTTTCCCCATAGAACTCAATGTAAACTAAAACAGCGCGACCTCAGCTGACAGAGAACCCACAGCTTTCATAAAGGTCGGATTTTGTGGGGATTTTAGTGTCCCTTGTCATCCTGAACTTTTTTTCTTCTTAAATCCTTCGGTTTTCTTTAAATCTACACTTTAGTGCCACAAACCCGTCTGGCTCCCGCTCTAACTCCGGCTCTAACTCTCGCTCTGATGAACTGCTCTGATTGGTCAGAGCGCGGCCGAGCCCCTCAGTGCACGTGCATGACAGCCACACACGCGTATTTCGCGCAACGCATCATGGGAGTTCATCCACTGCGCGGAACCGGGAGGACCAGACGATGCCCAAATACAGGCGAGTTTCCCATGGAGCTTTGCGAGTTCCAGCGAGTTCCGCTAATATGTCAGCGACCATGCCGGCACAAAGCGCCACTGAGCACAAACCATTCATTTCAATACGGCGCCATCTTGGATTGCCGGGGCTTGTGAAGCACCTAGTTTAGTTTGATAAATGAGGCCCCAAGTGTAGTATTACGAGTGAATGTTAAAAAACACACTTCTGTTACTATCTCAGAAATTCTACTCATTTTAGAAAGGACCATAAGTAATATTTTCATTTTAAATCACAGTATTATATTTTGACCTCATCTCAATCACAGTTTTATTTGTATTGAACAAAATTCACAAACAAAAACATAACACCACACACAATGAAAAAGAGATAACACAGACAAAATCTCTGAGGAATACTTTAGCATAATAAGAAGTAGGTATAAAATCTCTAATTATAGCATAATAGAGAGAGGCAAGTATACACTAATGTATACTACTAGACTCTAGAGCAAGAAAATATAAAGTGGTATGTTTACATCTGTACATGTTAGCAACATGAGGGTCTGGTACAAAGTGACTCAGTAAAGGGACAGTGGACACATGTGGTTCTATATTTCATATTTAATGGCAATTCCATTTCTTGTAATTGTAATTGACGTTACATACAATACAATTAAACATTACGCATGAGTGATATTTTTTAACAAATGTTAAAGTGATTATTTTGTGTCAAATGATTTCTAATCTTGTATTGTTCTTTTATTATCAGTTTTGTTTTTAGGACATATGCAATTAATTCAATTTCATCTGGAATTGAATTAATGTCTTGGAAAACACATTAAAAGGAAATGAATGATAACTTACTAGAAATACAAAAATAAATATTCTTAATAACAGCACATTTGGTTCTCTGTTGCTGCTGGTTACTGCTAATAGGAGATAAGGATGAGGATATAGATGATGAAACTGCTAAACAACTCAGAAAAGCTGCAAGAAAAGGAAAGCGTTCCAAAAAGAGGCTGGATGAGGCTGGAGCCGCGGGCGTGGGTAAGACTCAGAGGCTGCATGCCGCTTCACGAAGTCATTCAGCATCGGAAATGACTTTGGATGAAAAGTTAAAAGTTTTAGAGCAGCTACATTAACATCACTTGTGTATCATTGTACGCAGGTCTCAGCACCTGCCAGATGATTATACAATTACAACAACACTGCTCTTTTTGTCTACATGAAAATAGTTGACAATTAACTATTCAAGATAGTTAATTGCTTTAACAAACAACTACCAGCGCTCATACAATGCGGATGGGTGACGAATGCCTCAGTGTCTAGGGTCTAGGCCAAACCTAACAAGAGTGTTTGACAAACCACTAGTTATTTGTAACTTAGAAAAATGGAGCAATACAATTGACTTGACACAAGTCAATACACAAAAGAGAAGGACTGTGGGTAAAGAGTTTGACACCAGAAGACACCAACAGTAACCTCTTCAACACTTCTACAGCTGTAAATCTGTCAAATGATGGAAAATATTGTATATTTGTTTTCTCCATACTGGTCACCCATCTGTATCTAATATTAGCAAACAGCAGCAAATAACTTTGAGGGCACGATCTTGCGTTTCTTAACAGGCATTTGGAAAGCTTAAGTATTCAATGAATTACGATGTTCATTACTGTATGCTCAGAAAAAAGGGACATGGATCTTTTTTGGACGACATGTACGAAGACGTGTTTTGAACAGAGCGCTATGACACACACACTCCTCTTGGTTTGTGGACGTACAGTAGCTTTGAAACTGTCTTACGACCCCGGTGCAAAGGGATCAGCTCTGGATCGCCTGCGGCCCTGGCACATGGGCTCTGTGTGAGCGCATGGTGGGATAGGAGCATACACCAGAGTCTAGCAAGTCAGCGCACCCTCTTTGCGCCTGCAGATTTAATCTGTTCCTGTTATTTCTAAATTATATTATTAATGGCAAAAAGTAATGCATACTATTTCATCTTTAAAGACTTATTCTGATTTGCTAAACCAAATTGTATTTTAAGATTTGTTTATATTAAACACACTATTGTGTGATAATAAATATATAACTAAGCCTTTATTATTAAAATGAAAACAAAACTCATGAAGAAATAAGATTTGAAGGATTTACACAAACTTTGTGGAGTGGGATGGCCCTTTTGTATGTCTGAGGCTACTGCTTCTACTACTTCTACTACTCAAGGACTTTCTACTACTTACAAGAGATTTATATTATGTATGCCTCCAGCAAGGTTAAACTGAGATGTTTAGTGCAGTACAATCCAAATGCCTTTCTTGCATCCAGCAATAGATTGTGGCCCTTTTCTTAACACAAATGATTTGTGTTTGTCTTGTTAGTGACATTTGTTACCGTCCAGTATATATTTTGTTCTTGTCTATGTCGTTCCTTGGACAAAAGGGTGGAACCTTGTTATTATTATCTCTGTACATTATTTGCTATGAACGGCTCGCCATCAGGAACAGACAATATAAAGTTGTGTGTTGCTGCTGGTTATTGCTAATAGGAGATGAGGATGAGGAAATAGATGAGGAAGCTGCTAAACAAGAAGGCAAAGCTGCAAGAAAAGGAAAGCGTTCCAAAAAGAAGCTTGAGGAGGCAGAAGCCGCCGCAGCAGCAGCAGCAGTGGGTAAGAGTTCAAGGCTGCATGACAAGACGAGATTCTGATTCACAAAGTCATTCAGGAGCAGTGATGGGAATAACGGCGTTACTAGTAACGGCGTTACTAACGCCGTTACTTTTTTCAGTAACGAGTAATCTAACTAATTACTTTGACAGTAACTATAACGCCGTTATCATTTCCGACATCCCGTTACTGCGCGTTACTCAAGACGCACAATGAACGTGTTGTCATGAGAGAAGGGAGGATGAGAAAACCTCTCAGCAATTATTGGCTGATGTAAAACATATTTCCTTTACAATCTACATGTCTACAGTTGAGAGGATGGCTCATAAATTGTGTTTTTCAAACAAATATGGGTCTTAATCGTGCTCAACCACGGCTTGTATCACCGTGAGGTCAGCCTCAGAGGAGCGCATGTGAGCACAGAAGTCGGCTTCATACAATTCCATCGATAAGCTCCTTTCTCTTCCTGGTTTATCAGCTAAAGACAGCAACAGGTTTGGCTAACATACATATAACACATTTTTACATAATCTAAAATGCACATAGGATAATTTTTCAATTACTATAGGAATGATAAGAAAGAGAGGTGAAGTGTAAGACGGTTGATTTTAGAAATTGGATGCAGCCGGCTGCAGCAAAACAGAGGAGTTTACGGAGGACACACGCGTTTTGTTTTACTTTTTAAAACTCATTGGACTCATTTCCAAATGGAGGATTACATATCTACGCTCAAACCATTAACTGGATTTAAACAAGGAACTGGTCTGAACCGAAGTGGACTGTGCAGGTCATTTATAAGGTATAGCTATAAGGTAAGACCCATAACTCATAGTTTTGCGTTTTGTATGAACAAACAATGCGGCCATGAAACATATTTTGCTGTAGCCAAACAAATTGTCCACTTGATTTATATGATGTATATGTTCATCTGATTGGACTGAAGTCAGTGCTTCACCAGCCTCACCGCTCGTCACCGGTGTTTCCACATTCACAGTGGAGGGTGTTTGTGTTCAGTGCTTACAGCACAGAGAGAGATGAAGAGTGAACAGGACTTCAGCAGAAAAACAGACTTTTCTAGATGGAAATATTGGCACTATTTCAGACTCACTGAGGTTAAAGGTAAAAATGCGCACGTCGGGTGCACATTATGTTCCAGAACAAAACAAAAAAGTAACGCAATAGTTACTTTTACTGGTAACTAGTTACTTTTATAGTGGAGTAACTCCGTTAGTAACTCAGTTACTTTTTGGGAGAAGTAACTAGTAACTATAACTAATTACTTTTTCAAAGTAACGTGCCCAACACTGTTCAGGAGATATAATGACTTTGGATATTGTCAGAAGTAAATCTCAGTCTAAAGAAGCTACAATAAAGTTGAGTGTGTATAATTATGCTGGTCTCAGCCCCTGCCAAATGATTATACAAAGATTTCTTCAAAAATACTGCTTGGTACAGTTTGTTGGCGCAGTGAGAACTGATTCAAGATCAAGAAGTCAGAAGAGTTTCTTGATTTAGATTTTACAAAATTTGATTTTGTAAAACATAATCAGTGCTAACGTGATGCTGATGACATACATAGTTTTTACATGCAGATGGGTGGTTCACAATTGGCCCAGAACAAGACTGACCAATTTTCTTCTTCAGACCTTAAGCCAAGACCCCAGATAAACAATGGCTGAAATACCCATATAGCCACATGATTTCTGCAATGTATATGAACATAACATAGTATGCTTTTACCTTCAAGCGACCAAAAGGGTCATATATGACCCCGTACATATATATATATATATATATATATATATATATATATATATATATATATGCTTCGTGCACCCTTTTTCTAATTTCTATCGGACAAAAGTTTCCTGGGTAAGGTTTTGCAAGGACTCAGCAAGATTTACAGCTGCACAAGTTTTGAGACAGATTCTGGATACCCAGAGTGAGGATGCACTATTGTTGTGTGTGTGTGTGTGTGTGTGTGTTTTTTTTTAAAAATTAAATAAAATTTAATAAATTATGACCTAAGATTATCGACAAATATATGAGAGAGGGGGAAAAAAATATGAAAATATGAAGAACTCATATATAGAACAACAATTTGTATGGAAATATTCCTATGGAAGGTCGATAGAGTAACACAGGACGGCCACTCGGTCATATTTGCTTGGTCGCTTGAGGTTAAGAGTCAAAATGTGTTATTAAAGTATATCTGGGAAAAAAAGACTGATTTGTCTCGTTAACAATGGAAAACACATGCTCACCCATCTGTATATCAGTAATCAGCATATATAATACAATATATTTACAATGGATATAGAAGAGTTTTGTGTATGTTTGTTTGTGCAGTATGTGTACATTGCTGTGTGTGCACTAATTTGTGTATTGTCCAAATTTAGATTTGGACAACTCTTATCCATGTTGTTTGTCTTCAAAGTTTGTCCAAGTTTGATCATCCTCAGTGCTCTGTTTATTCATATTCACATCCATTTCTTCACCTGTGTGTATTGTGTTGTTCCTGTTTTTGAGGATGTAATCTTGTGTGTAATGCAGACGTGTTTATTGTTATGGTTGCTGTTTTCATTAATGGTTTTTATAAGGAATATCCAACAGAAAGATTGGACTGGTGGTAATGAAATCCTTTAAAACTGAAACTCAAAAGGCAGAGGTGAGCGAGGTACCAGTGGTGATAATGGCGGCGATGAGGCTGCAGAGCTTGATGAGCCAAGAGCAGCTGGCAAACGCTCAGGCCGCACTCGCCACGGCCCAGTGATGGTGGAGACTGTTAGTGGTAAGACGACAGGAGCCGCGTTCTGCTGCATGGGAAGCACTGTACACTGACCAAAGTCATCCACAAAGCGATGACTTCAGCAGTGGTCTGCAGCGTGAAGCACAGAATGTACCATTGGATCTCATTTGGATAAATGAATGATCACAATAACATTCTGATAATCCATGCATTAATATTTAGGTGACCTAGCTTTAGACATAAGGCTCAACAAACAAAACCCCTTGTTTGATCGTCCACCCTTGCCTTGTGACGTGTTGCTTGCATCTGCTTTTGTGTCATGTTGATGATTTTGCTTGCTTTTAAAGCGTTGATTCAGGATGAATCGGTGCCTTGAGGTAACTTTTCCACTGAATACTGAAAACAGACCCCCCTGAAACATTATAGAGTGTGAAGAGAGAAGACCCATCGGAAGAAGCTAATGCTTTGAAATATTGCAATAAAGAAGACTGAACATCAACAAAGACTTAGTGTCTGCTGTGAGAACCATCTGTCGGTCACTAGGAAATACTTTTGAGCGTCTCAAATAGAAATCTGTGTTTCTTATTGAGATAGATAAGAATCAAACGCAGATAAGAAGAATCGACAATATACACTATTATGTTCATTTGTATTTATATTGTATTTGTGCAATCAATTGTGAATTATTGTAAGTATCTACATCTCTATGAACCATGTTTCTGTTCTTTTAACATAATTATAAATGTTGAAGTACTGAACATTTAGGATTATTAAGGTAAGTATAGATGTTATCAATATGTTGAATATATGACTTTCTATACTTGTTATATCTTGTAAAATAATAGTAGTAGAAGCATAAAGTTCTAGGTCATGTTCTAATTAAGTGGTGGCTAAATCTTTAGACCCAGGAGTGCACTTCCATGCCGGGCTTTCTGACTGCAAAGCCATAATGGGAGAGTCAGCGGAGCTGGAGTGTAAAGTGAGCAGCGAAGACTGTAAAGGAATCTGGTACAAAGATGGAGACGAGGTGAGCAGAGACAGAGGGATATTAAATCACTGCTACAATTATTCATGTCATTTTATTTTACAGATTAAAGTCGATGCAGAGGGGATCACTATTACTCAAGATGGAAGTTTCCACAGGCTAAAAATTCACAAGGTTACTGAGGAATTTGGAGGGAAATATAAATTTGAAGCCGATGGACGCAAAACAGAGGCCATGATAGTAGTAGAAGGTAAGTATGAGCAAAACCTTGTATATGGGCAACTGATTAACCCTGTAGAACCCAGACATAACAATATTTGTTGAAAAGAATCATAAGTGCTATTTTTGGAAAGCAGCCTTTAATGACCAAATATGGCAATGTAGCATGTTTGCTTTTTTGAGTGCATACATTAGTAAATGCATTAAACCAACAAGTCCTACTTCTTTTAAGATTAAGGTTAATTAAGGGATCCTTGCATCACCAGTTACAGAACCATAATGAAGAGCACACAGCACAGGATAAATTAACGACAACTCTCTACCAAATAAAATAAAATAAAACTCTAGTATGAAATGAAAACATGTATACAAAAATACTGTATATACAGTAATTTGCCATAATGGTCGAACTTCATGCTGCATATTTGTAACAGAGGGTGCTACGGGGTTAAAATAAAACAATAAAACAACACTTTTTTTCTTTCTATTTTAGACCCACCGCGATTTGTGGCTGAAGATCTTGAAACATTTAAGACCCCAGTGACGGTGAAAAAGGGTCAAAAGGCAACCTTTAAACTCCCCTTTGTCGGTCGGGACCCGATCAAAGTGCAGTGGTATCTGGAGGGCGAGGAGCTATCCGACGATTCAAACATAAAGATCGAGCACACTGAAGGCTGCTCCCGCCTCCTTCTGACCAAACTGCAGCGCAAAGACAGCGGCGAAGTCAAGATCAAACTGAAGAATGAGTTTGGAACAATGGAAGCCTTGACTCAACTCATTGTGCTTGGTATGTCACCCAGTTTGACCTTGCACAGTATAGGGGTTTCATGTACAGCAGCCATTCCCAAACTCAGTAACACCGAGGCCCCCTTAAAAATCTGACGGGTCTGCGTGGCCCCCCAAAATAATAACCAAGAAGACAACATTAAGAATAGGCTCTTCTGGTTATTTTATTTTGGGGAAATAGCCTCTGCTACAAACATTGTAATACAAAAATGATTACAGTGGATTATTCAAGTCAAATAATGAACACATATTTTAATATTACAAACAAAACATTATAAATGTAACATTAATTTTTTTTTAATGACCTCCCGCGGCCCCCCTGCAGTACCCCACTTTGGGAGACACTGATGTACAGTATACAGAAAAAGTAGTTTTTAGAGTAATTCATTTGTATTTCTAGTAATTTGTATTTCTGTAAAGTCAAGAAGAAACCCCACGTCCTTTTATACTTAACTTGCTTCTGTATTATGCTAAAGCTAGAGATTTTAGAGATTTTCTAGAGATTTTCTAGAGATTTTCTAGAGCTACAGATCTCTCAATCTTAATTCTTAAAAATTCTTTAGTAAACAACAATCTAATCCACACTTTTAACCAACTACTTTCTCAAAGATAAGCCCACTCCACCGATGGGGCCTCTAGAGATTGTTGAGGCTTCCGCTTCAGTGGTTGACTTCAAGTGGAGACCCCCAAAAGACAGTGGCGGCTGTAAAATTGACAATTACATCCTGGAACGAAATCAGATTGGACGCAACACGTGGAAGAAAGTTGGCCCTATTGGTCCAGAGGCAAAATACAGGGACACAGACGTCGACCACGGCAGAAGGTACTGCTATCGCCTTCGGGTGGAGACTGAGATGGGAACGAGCGAACTGTTTGAAACAGAGGATATTCAAGCTGGAACCAAAGGTATTTTTTTTATTGTATTGTAGACGGCAAAATAAAATATGAGGTATTAATTGCTAGAACTGTTTTTTTTTTTTTACCGTAATCTGAGTACATTCCCGACTGTCTTAAAACAAGATTTGCAAATGGGACAAAACCCCTCCATCCATTCATTTTTTTTTTTTACCGTAATCTGAGTACATTCCCGACTGTCTTAAAACAAGATTTGCAAATGGGACAAAACCCATCCATCCATTCATTTTCTTCCACTTAATTTGCATCACTGAGCACACTGCACCGATTCGCCTGTCCATCTCGCAGTCCATCCTTCCCTCACTTGTGTACAAGACCCCGAGATACTTTAACTCCTCTCCACCCACCTGGATAGGACAAGGCTCCTCTTTCCGGACAAGCACTGTGGCCTCAGATTTGGAGGTGCTGATTCTCATCCCAGCCGCTTCACACTCTGCCGCAAACCGTCCCAGTGCATGTTGCAGGTCCTGGTTCGTTGGAGCCAACAGGCCGCGCTTTGACCAATCAGAGCTGATGATTAGAACACAGTTAAAGAGGAGCCAGGGCGGGTAGAAAACAAGTGGATTTAAGAAAAAAAGCTCAGGATGGCAAGGGACAATTAAATCCCCACAAAATCCGACCTTTATGAAAGCATTAGGTTGTCTCTCAGCTGAGGTCAAGCTGTTTTAGTTTACATTGGAATTTAGTCTGCAGTACCACGGGCACCCCCGGTACCCATTGGTGGGACAGCTATGAGCTAGTAATACCCTATCCAGATATTGTTATAGATCCATGGGTCGAAGGCCTTCTTAAAATCCACAAAGCACATGTGGGACAGGTTGGGTGAACTCCCATGATCCCTCAAGTACCCGATGGAGCATATAGAGCTGATCCAGTGTTCCGTGACCGAGACAAAACCAGTCTTATTTCAAGAACACTTGCTTTATTTTCGTTTTCCAAGGGAGACATTTCTTGCATCTTTTTAAAACAAGATAATTTTGCTTATGGCAAATCTTGTTTTAAGGCATTCATAATGTGCTCAAAGGTACATTTTACCAAATGTTAGCATTTTTAAACATAGTTTTCATAACTTTTTGCAGCGTGTTTATGTTATTATTATAATTTTTTCATAGTTGGATTAACCCACTGTCACAATTGTGTAATGTTGTCTTGCAGCTTATCCGGGGCAGCCATCAGCACCAAAAGTTGTCAGTGCTTTCAAGGACTGCATCAATCTGACTTGGTCTCCTCCTTCCAACACGGGGGGAACTAATATTCTGGGATACAACCTTGAAAAACGCAAGAAGGGCAGCAATCTGTGGGGAATGGTGAATCCCCCTGATGAGATGATCCGATCAGGTTTATTCTTTATTATCTTCATATTTTATATATATATGTATAGCATGCAACTGCCATTAGCTGTAAATTGACGGCTCTGGGTGTTCTGGTGTGAAGTCAAAACTCTAGGCACATGAGGTCTGTGGGACTGGTGATATCTTCGAACATATAAAACACATGAAAAAAATACCTCCAACAAACCTCTTTTTATAGAGCTGAGTCCACCCACTGAAGTCAGGAAAGTCAACATGACTATTATCTAATTGGTGGAAAAATAATGAACAGTGCAGGTGCTCAAAGTGATCCCTGCTTTGTTCGGTCCTCATGTTCACATGTCGGCATAGAAGGAAAATAATAAGGTGCACTTTATGATTTATGATGAATAATATCCATCTCCAGCTCAGTTTGAAACTGAGTGCTCTTTGCATTTGCCCTTATGTGACACTCACGCAAATGTAAGTCCACGTGAACTTCAAAAGTATTGTTCCATTTGCAAAGGCCATGTGACTGTCCTCCCATGGCAGTGTGGGGACATCACTAGCAACCTACAGTAAGGTTAGGTTGGTTTGGTTGCTCTGGTTTCCCCTACCACCAGGATCATCTACAATAGGTGAGGGTTGAATGAGTGTGTGTTTGTGAGTGTGACCGTGGGACTACAGATGGAAATCAGCTCAATATATCTACAATCTGGTATATTTACAACTCCTGCTGGCCATGAATATGCGCTGTGCCATTCAAAGTAAACAAATAAATCCAAACAACAAGACTGGCCCCAGCTTAGAGCTTTTCCAAGTGGGGACAAGCCGAGGCTAGCAGACACAACGCCACATGCAAAGCTGCTGCCAAAGACACAGCGAGGGACAGAGCAGCTGATCGAGTAAACACAGCAGCTGCCGCACCTGCCCCGGCTGTATCCAGGAAGTTTGTAGAAAGTAAAGCGGCTCTGACTCTCAGACAACAACTGGATTAACGAGATACTGATGCCGATGGATTTTCTGCTTGGACACTCGATAAGGACACTGATGCTAGCAGGGAAGCGTAATACCATTCTCTAGGAAAGAGAACAAGGCTGACTTTTTCTATTGTGTTTAATTCTCACGTCCTTTTCCTTTCGCTGTTGATGCTGCATGGCTATTTAATTGGTTTTAAAAGCTATAAAATGATACTGCAAGTTTGGGAGTAAATGATTTTGTAGAGTGGCCTAAAGAAACTAAATAAAACAAAATATATTACTTCAGTTTTATCGTTGCATTCGAAGTGTGTGATGTGATGATTAGCAAAACACTGTAACATTTGTCTAATTTCTTTGCCCACAGGAAAACTATGTCCTGTCAAAGATGTGGTTGAAGGAATGGAGTATGAATTCAGAGTGGCTGCCATCAACAACTCAGGAGCAGGAGAATTTAGTGTTCCATCTGAGTTTGTCTTTGCCAGAGACCCTAAAAGTAAGAGGACAAGAATAAGAGCAGGCTTTTTCAGGGTGCTTGCTCTTTTTCCAAATGAATATTCCAGACTTTTTTTAAACTGACATTTTTTTTCCCAAGATGCATTTCTGTTGACCACTAGGCTAGCTATGTGTCAATAGACCTCAGCAGTGACATCACGAAAATGTACCAGACAAGACTAAGCAAGCGTTGATTGAACATAATTCCATTACGCTAACACAGTACAGTTAGTACAATTATAGTTTTATAGCCTACCTTCCTATTTCTCATTTCACAATGCCTTTGAGCATACTGTAAAAATTCTACCTTACATTTGTTTCCCATACTTTATTAAGACTTTCACATAAAATTCGAGACTTTTCAAGGTCTGGAAGACAGTGTTTCAAAATTCCGTACTTATTAAGACTTTCAAACTTCTTTTGGTCCTTTTGTTAAACGCTTTGTGACTAAGGTCTGTGAAAGGCGCTGTATGAATAAAGATTACTTACTTATTTACTTACTTAAAATCACATTTTGAAGATATGTAAATTATTCTAAATTATTTAGAATAATTGCAAACAGAGTCAAAATATACATGTCAATGTTAGTATACTGTCAATATTGCCATCGACATAATATAAAGCTTACTTACAACAAGATATGTACATTTAGAACATGCAAAACTGAGTCAAGGAATACTTGTCAATATTGCCCTGAAAGTTAGAAAACTTGTCAATGTTGCCCTGAAGGTTAGAAGATTCGGCTTAGCTTAACATATTTCTGACATTGCAGAGCCCCCAGGCAAGGTCATCGACTTCAAAGTGACAGACTCCACTTACACAACCCTGTCCTTATCGTGGATCAAACCCAAAGAGATTGAGGGAGAGGAGGACGAGGCCAAGGGTTATTTTGTGGAGGTGCGCCCTGCGGAGAACACAGACTGGGACCGCTGCAACACAAACGCCATCACAATGACGTCGTACACGGTCAAAGGACTCAAGTCTATGGGCATGTACTGGGTCAGAGTCACAGCCATCAATGAGGGAGGAGAGGGGGCGCATCAAGAGCTGGACAACTACATCCTGGCTATGCCTCCGCCAGGTAAGAGGCAAAACTTGTTCGGAAAAATCTTTAAATACATACACAAAAAATCCCCCTTTCTTCTCTAGTGCGGCCGAGATTCACAGATGTGAAGATCAAGAGTTTTATGATTGTAAGGGCTGGAAATTCTGCAAGATTCAACATTAACTTTGAGGTAATGTATCTAATAAAACTAATTCTAATTATCTATCACAATATATTTGACAGGTTTATAATGATTACATTTTCTGTTTAACATTTTAATTGCACTACAGTATAACGTATTTATACTTTGCTTCTTTATTAAGCTAAAGATAAAGATTGAATTACATTTACATATTCAGTTATGCAATACCCAATACACACTATCTTGTGATGCAAGAAAAAATGATCTTAATATTAATCTTACTAGGTTAATGCCAATGTTTCTGTAAAATGTGTCATCTTTGGACATGCATAATTTTTTGTTTATTTGACAGGGAAAGTGTACATTAATAAATATTACTGTAAATGTACCAGAATTAGCTATTTTTCACCCGTTGTCCCTGGACAGATTTAAAATTTCACCCTAATGTGAATTCAGCCTATACCTCAGTTGTAGTAGGGATAAAGCCTTTCGGTCAGGCATTATTTAGCACTAAACTTCAGGTACACGCCATAATTTTTACTCCCATCTAGCATGAGATCAGATATAGCAGTCAACTCTCTAGTGCCACGCAGTTCACAAAAAGTATTACACTATAAGCTACAGTAGCCTTCAAAGGACAATATGAATATGAAAAGGAGCTAGCTAAAACATGTTTCTTGTCAGAACGCCAGTGTCTAGATTTTTGCATGATTCTTTTTCTAAAATATTCTTGCATGTAATTCTTTTACATAACTGTGGTCCTCCATGATCCCTTCTTCAAACTTGTCAGGGCACGGTAAAAGCAACAATCTTAGTAGCACCTGTGAGATCATGTGGCATTGAAAACGCGATTCTTGCGTTTTCACTTGTCCCTTATCACCAATGTATTTCAAGATGGCCTGGAGAGTCCGCCAGCTCTCCGGTCACATTCTAAGCATAACAACAATTCAATATTATGGTGGAGGTGAATAATCTTAAAAAGGTCACATTTGTGATTGGTTACCATGTTTTTTTTCAATTGGACCAACTGTAAAAATGGCCGATGTCTACCTTTACTAAAACTATTACTACAACATTACCATGACTACGACTACTACTAATACTACCAGATTCTCATTAATGATCTTTTTGTGTGTTTTACAAGGCTTCCCCTTGGCCTGAGGTGACCTGGCTTAAAGATGGCGTCCCTGTTTCTAAGAAAGTGACCATCAGTAACGCAGAGGGCATGTCCCAGCTGCTGATCGCGTCTGCCGAACGCTCCGACACCGGCATCTACACCATTGTTGTCAAAAACATTGTTGGTCAAGAAACATTCAGCATTGAAATTAGAGTCACAGGTAAAATGGTCGATCCTTCTACACAGGGCAGGGAATCTATGCGTTTTTTCTTCCTCCCACTCCTTTTTGAGTTTGAACCCTGTTTAGATTATGATAAGTAATAAGTAAGTAGTAATTGTCAATGAATGATATGTCAGAACATTCTACGTACAAATATCAGCACATACAATTTTCTATCATAATTAATTAACAATAATATTTGATGTACATTGAACTCAAAATAAATAAACACTCAACTCAACTTCAATCAAGTCAACTTCTGCACTGCAAAAAATTATGAAAAATTAGGTACTAATTGCTCAAATCAAGTCTTGCCAATGGGATAAAGCCATTTAAAGTTGTTTCAAGAACTGTCTGTTGCTTTATTTTCTCCTTTAAACAGAGACATTTATTTTACCTTTTTAAAACAAGATCATTTTGCTTTGTCCCAAATGTGCTCAAATTAAGAAAATGTTTTGCTGAATTTGAGCATTATTTTTTAATTATTTGCTGTCATTTTTTGAGAGAATGAAAGATAACCAAGCGTCAGACACTGAGTAACCTCTATTTACTTATTTCCACTTTCTATATAAAATGTACAAAGGTTTCAGGATTTGAGAGTCAACAAAAAATAGAAGAGATACAAGAATCTTTATAACCCCACACGGAGGAAACTGAGATTTTTAACAAGTTGAGGATACAAAATATTATTCTTTCAACTGATAATTTTTCTCACATTTTCTTGGAAGACTAAAATATGTGTAAATGTATACATTCACTAGCTTCAGCCTGCTGTAAAGTTAAGTCTCTATGTGTGTAATTATACAAGTGACAGAAATAAACGTCCTATGTAAGAAAAACAATACAAACAAAAACAGAGAATTGTGTTGCCTGTAATTGAAAGCAGGTTGGATTACAGCCACTGCCACTTGGCAAGACGGTGTGATGTACTTCTTTTAAGATTTTTGAAACATTATTATTTACCTTTCCAGACGAGCCCAAGCCTCCAGGCCCAGTGGAACTGGATGAAAACGTCCCAGGGACAGTCACTATTTCCTGGACTGCATCTCCTGATGAGAAGAAAGACGACAGGCTGCACTACATGGTGACCAAACGTGACTCACACAAAAGACAGTGGCACACAGTCGCAGATCGAATCTTCAACAACAAGTTCACAGCCTGCAACATCATGCCGGGACGCGAGTACCAGTTCAGAGTCTACGCCAAGAACGACATGGGCTCCTCAAAACCATCCGAGTCTACAAAATGGCTGATTCCTGCTAAAAAGGGTAGGCAACAACATTCCATTTAAACTATAGTTAATAGTTCCACTACACTGCAAAAAGTGATGAAAAATAAGACTATTTCATATTAAGTCAATAATGGCTCAAATTTGGCTAAATCTATCATAATTTGAGGACATTTTGACTGACTTAAAACCAGATTTGCCAATGGGGAAAACACAATGATCTTGCTTTAAAAAGATACAAGAAATGTCTCCCTTGTGATGAGAAAATTAGGCAACATTTATTGACTTAAGACTAAATGGTTTTGTCCAATTGGAAAACAATGTTTTTAAACAGTCAAAACGTGCTCAAAAAAAGAACCACTTGATTCAAGCTATTATTACCTCATATTTTATCATTTTTTGCAGTGTAGGTTTAACATAAACATAGCAGCATTGCAAAAATCAACATTCCGATCAACATTCAACAACATTATATCTACTGGCTCAAAGGCACACTATTTAGTTATTGTTTGTATTGAAAAATAAACAGAAACATAAAGAACTAACATATATAACGATCTCCTTTAACAATGTAAAAATGTAGGCCACTACATTATAAGGGTCTTAAACGTTCTTAAATTGTATCTAAGGCTAGCGCTCATCAATAAATAGAATTGTTTTTGCCAGGCGGTTAAGGAGTAGCTGTCATTTTGGTCCTCAGAGAGTAACTCTGGGTGAAAACGACTGCTACTCTATTTTTTTTCCCTTAACCCCATAACTTGTTTTGTTTTTATTCCAGAGAAGTTCACTGTGACCCTGCCTGAATCCAAACCTTGTGACCTCCAGTGTGCGCCGAAATTCATCATGCCTCTGAAGATGCACGCAGCGCCTCAGGGCTATGAGTGCTACATGAGCTGTGCCATTAAAGGAGACCCCACCCCACATATCACCTGGTACCGGAACAACCTGAGCCTAAACACTAACACCAACTACTTCATCTCCAACACGTGTGGCGTCTGCTCCATGCTCATCCTGAGGGTAGGCCCCAAAGACAGCGGCGAGTACAAGGTGGTCGCGGAGAACAATCTGGGACGCGCCGAGTGCACAACCAAACTCACAGTGAGAGGTGAGAGCCAACCCTAACCCTAACCTAACATTAAAACGTTACACTGCAAGAAGTGATAAAATATGAGGAAATAATTGCTTGGATTGAGCGGTTTTTATCTTAATTTGAGTACATTCTGACTGCCTTAATGCAAGATTTTCCTCTTGGACAAAGTCAAGAACTTTAGCTTTATCTTCTCATTTCAAGGGAGATACATCCTGTATCTTTTTGAAACACAATAATTTAAAACACATTGGCAAATCTTGTCTTTAAGTGAGTCAAAATGTGCTCAAATCAAGATACTTTTGTACAAATTGTAGCAATCTTTGACATATCTTTCATGCAGTGTATGGAGCTTTTCATTCATATTCTGTGGTTGTTTCCAGAATGATGAGCATCGACGATGATGAAGGACTCTATTCAAGATTCTCCGAAACGAAAAGTTGCTCAATATTACTCATTACATTGTAATCGTTTGTCCGCTGGCTGTTTGCTTTTTCTTGTGTTTTAGAACTTAACAAAAGATTGAAGAAAGTACAGTAAAACAATGAATGACTTTTGACAAAGAAATGTTATGATTGGAGAGCTCAATGAGTATTTAACGTTTCAAATGTAACCCAAATCCGTGACATTAAAATGTATTTATAAACAAATGTTTCAGTTGGCGCTGACATAATAATCAATTCAAAAATACATGATTAAGGCTTTACCACATTTTGGTGTCTGTTTACGTTTTCTGAAGCTTTGTCTAGAATTGACATGAATTGTTAGGTTTATTATTGTCAAACATTGTAGTCACACAAGTTGGCCTCCTTTTAAAGAAACAATTCTTAGACATTTACATGTTTATGTTGATAATTTATGTCTGCTCTTGTATAATGTGTCTGGGGTCAGGCTCTAGTCCAAGTTTAGAGTCACCGAAGAAGAGAGGGTCAACACTTCTACTAAATCACGACTGACCAGAACAGGATGACACTTCAAAGGAAAATATTCAGTTTATTGTTTAATAAAGTTTTAAATGCAACAAATTCTGCCCCGGACTGCCCCCTCATTTTCTCATCAAATTGACATTATTCTTAATTCAAAAAGTATAAATAGTGATAAGATTACTGTATATGAAATGAGTTGTTTGGTGTATTCATTTAATATTTTAAAAGAGTTACTGATTATTGAAAATTTTAATAAATAAACAATCAACAGGAAGCATAATTGTCTTACCTCCTTGCTGAATCTTACAGTCATGCGAAGAATGAGTCAAATGATGTTGAGCTCCTGACACAAACCTAGACAAATCTCTGAAGACTTGGACGTCATTAAGACTGCCCCTACTCTCCCTGGTTCCATGGTGGCGCTGAAATTCCGGTTTTGAGGGAGGGATTAGTTATGTCAAATGCATACATTTCCTGCTCTACCTCCTTTTTAAGAAGAGTGCCACACACGCCTGGGCCAAAGTGCACGGTGGTAACCTATCCCCATGAGGCGAGGGGGAAAAGCCCTGGGTTAAGTGACTGTCTCTGAAAGACTTTATTGCCTTTGAAATCGGGGAGGACAGAGAAACAGCAGCAGCCAGACGCAGGAACAGAGGAGAGCACTCTTAAATTAAAGTAAGTACTGTTTTCTAAATATAAAAACCTTTTGCTATAACTATTAACAACAGTTCTGAATTATAATTGATAGTTGTTATATATATATAAATAAACAGCAGGCAGAACCTGGGTGTGTTTGTGTGATTTTGTGTGTGTCTTAATGTAATATTTATTTGACTGAAAATAATAGTCATGGATTATTACGTCCATGTCAGATTATTAACAGTAAAGAAGGCATTCTGTATGTGCATAGTACAGAGTGTAGTCCAGAGGAATACAGTTACATACATATGTTCTTACACATTGCTCAGAGACCCTCTCTCTATTGCCCGCAGCAAATGCTATTTTTTCTCCAGACAAATTTAGACGACATGTGGCATATTTGAGAGAAGTACAAAATTCTTCAAAAGATGCGGCTCAACGCACATAACTCAACAAAATAGTTGTTAATCAATGTCTTGATAAACAAATAATCTGAAATCAAATATTCATTTAATTTACGTATTTTTTTTAAACTAAATTCAATTCCATTAATTCTCTTATAGCCCTATGTCACAGCAGCAATTATCGTTACACAATTAGGACTTTACAAAACCGTCAAATTTGCCAACACAGATCAGAGAATCAAACAGTTCAAACACAAGAAATGCAATAGAAAAAAACACATACAGCCATTGGTCCATAAGGGACAGATCACCAATGTCTATACATGTGGGTAAATGTCCATAAATATTGTTGAATGTCAAGTGTCCTGGATCATCTACATGGAATTGTATGTGGAAAAAAAAAAAAAAAATGTTTGTGAATTACCATTTTAATTTCACATAATTATAATACAATGAGGAATTCTGCAAACACAACTGTACTTCTTATACTTTAGGGAATAAATGTATTGACCTAAACACATAAACAGGTGCTAAATGAATGCGTGTGCCTCAGCTACAGTAGACACGCTGTAAAGTGTGGGCCATGTAACTCGAAGACCTCTCACTGTTTCTCCTTCACTAAAGTCGGGGCTGGAAAAATGAGACACACATTTTCGGTTGAGTTTGAGTTTGAATATGATATACACAGATAGTGATTTTAGGACGGATCCAGAATCACTTTCTGTACATGATAGATGATTGGTTTATGAGGTATGTGACCCCCTCGGCAAAATTAGGCTGGAATGTCAAAATGAGGCCAAGGCATTTGGGACACTTTCATTCCTGAACAGTCCAAAGCAGATTGCCGCCATCTCAGTGTGGATGTTGTCATGTTTTGCTTTATTTTTAATTTTTTTTCATAACATATCTACAATTAAGAGTAATTAAGAGATAATTTTATAATCATCCCATTTACATCAGATTAGGAATGAGGAGCCCAAAGCATAAGACTAATGAACAATATCTCTAAACTAAAATAAGATAAAACTCTTATCTTTAGCATGAGAAGCAGGTGTAAAATGTCCAACTTTAGCAAACTAAAGAAGCAAGTGTAAAATCTCTAACTTTAGCATAATATAGAAGCAATTATATAATATCTAAGCAAGTACTGTGTATTCTAGTGCAATGAAAATATAGTTGTATGTATACATACATGTTAGCATGTGGGCGGCACGGTGGCTGAGTGGATAGCACTCTCGCCTCTCAGCAAGAAGATCCTGGGTTCGAATCCCGGTCGGACCAGGGCCTTTCTGAGTGGAGTTTGCATGTTCTCCCCGTGTCTGCGTAAGTTTCCTCCGGGTACTCCGGTTTTCCCTACCACTAAAAATATGTCCAATAGTTCTGTAACCGCTTTGAGACTCAGATCTGCAGTGAAAAGGCGGTATATAAATAAAGATTACTTACTTACTTACTTAGCAGCATGAGACTATGGGACAAAGTGACAGTGGACACATGTGGTTTCATATTGCACAATCTGACATTATTTCAATATATCGAACATATGCACAACATACAAGGTCAGGCCGACAGTGTTTTATAGTCCTAATAGTTAATCAAACAAACTACTTTGTTTAAAGTTACAGGATTAAAATGATATTCTTGAAAATCATAAGTTAAATCATAACTTTTCGGTGGTGTGGTGTGGTGTGTGCTCCTCATTTTTACTGTTCTGTAACTGGTGCTGCAACACTGAAACTTACCCACTATGGCACAAATAAAGGATCTCTTAATCTTAATCCCTTCAGAGACACTGGTCTTCAGGCCAAAATGTTTAAAATACGTAAAACCAAGGAGGAGGAGCCGACAGCCCCAGGCCAGGGTAAGTGAACATTGTGGACATTAGTGATGTATTATTTCTGTTTGATCTTATTGATGGTGATGCTCATGTTTGTGACGACAGTGAGGATAAAGAAAAAGTCCCGAGTGCCTGGGGTGATGATCACACAGTTTGTGGAGGAGCTCCCCTCAGGAATGACCACGCCAGACTTCACCCGCAAACCCATCGCTCTCACTCTGCAGGAAGGTGACTCTAAACTCAAGTCAACCACCAGCCACCGACCACCAAACACCAAACACCGACCACCTACCACCAACCACCTACCACCGACAACCAACCACCAAACACCAAGCACGAGCCACCGACCACCTACCACCGACAACCAACCACCAACCACCAACCACCTACCACCTACCACCTACCACCAACCACCTACCACCGACAACCAACCACCAACCACCAAACACCAAGCACGAGCCACCGACCACCTACCACCGACAACCAACCACCAACCACCTACCACCTACCACCAACCACCTACCACCGACAACCAACCACCAACCACCAACCACCTACCACCAACCACCTACCACCGACAACCAACCACCAACCACCAACCACCTACCACCAACCACCAAACACCAAGCACGAGCCACCGACCACCTACCACCGACAACCAACCACCAACCACCAACCACCTACCACCTACCACCTACCACCAACCACCTACCACCGACAACCAACCACCAACCACCAAACACCAAGCACGAGCCACCGACCACCTACCACCGACAACCAACCACCAACCACCTACCACCTACCACCAACCACCTACCACCGACAACCAACCACCAACCACCAACCACCTACCACCAACCACCTACCACCGACAACCAACCACCAACCACCAACCACCTACCACCAACCACCTACCACCGACAACCAACCACCAACCACCAAACACTAAGCACGAGCCACCGACCACCGACAACCAACCACCACCAACCACCAAGCACGAGCCACCAACCACCAACCACCAACCACCAAGCACGAGCCACCGACCACCTACCACCGACAACCAACCACCACCAAACACCAAGCACGAGCCACCGACCACCAACCACCAACCACCAAGCACGAGCCACCGAACATCTACCACCAACAACCAACCACCAACCACCTACCACCGACAACCAACCACCAACCATCAACCACCAAACACCAAGCACGAGCCACCAACCACCTACCACCGACCACCAAACACCAACCACCAATCACCAAGCACGAGCCACCTACCGGCAACCACCGACCACCAACAGTCAACCACCACGAAAACACCGACCGCAACCCACCAACAGCCAACCACTAACCCCGACCACCAATCACTGGCCACGACCACAAGCCATGACCACCACCCACAAACCAACAGCCACCAACCACCGACCATGAGCCATCAGCCACGACCCTCACCCACCTCTGTCTCAAACACCAAGCACGAGCCACCGACCACCGACAACCAACCACCAACCACCTACCACCAACCACCTACCACCGACAACCAACCACCAACCACGAGCCACCGACCACCTACCACCGACAACCAACCACCAACCACCTACCACCAACCACCTACCACCGACAACCAACCACCAACCACCTACCACCGACAACCAACCACCAACCACCTACCACCTACCACCGACAACCAACCACCAACCACCTACCACCGACAACCAACCACCAACCACCAAACACCAAGCACGAGCCACCGACCACCTACCACCGACAACCAACCACCACCAACCACCAAGCACGAGCCACCGACCACCAACCACCTACCACCAAGCACGAGCCACCGACCACCGACAACCAACCACCACCAAACACCAAGCACGAGCCACCGACCACCAACCACCAACCACCAAGCACGAGCTACCGACCACCTACCACCGACAACCAACCACCAACCACCTACCACCGACCACCTACCACCGACAACCAACCACCAACCACCAACCACCAAACACCAAGCACGAGCCACCAACCACCTACCACCGACCACCAAACACCAACCACCAATCACCAATCACCAAGCACGAGCCACCTACCGGCAACCACCGACCACCAACAGTCAACCACCACGAAAACACCGACCGCAACCCACCAACAGCCAACCACTAACCCCGACCACCAATCACTGGCCACGACCACAAGCCATGACCACCACCCACAAACCAACAGCCACCAACCACCGACCATGAGCCATCAGCCACGACACTCACCCACCTCTGTCCTCTGCTCAAACCGTTCTCATTCTCTTTTACAGGTAAACCGGCCATTTTCAGGGCCATTGTTATCGGCAACCCGACTCCCGATGTGACCTGGGTGAGAAACAATGGAGAAATCACTGAGGACAATTACATTATCACCTTTGACAAAAGTTCTGGTGAACATCAACTACAGGTTTGTTTGTTTTTATTTATGAACCACTAGTCACTTTACCTGCTATAGTATGACTACAGTATTACACATTCTTTTTATCTGATAATTCTGTCCTGGAAATCCTCTAGTTACTTTACCTACTGCTTTCATCACTATTGTTTACTCTGGTATAATTCTCCCCTGTACAAAAGAAACATCTGTAAATACATCCTGATGCTGCTGACTACAGTGTATACTCCACAAGCGACTTATCCTTGAACCAAGTGCAATTATAGCTCCAGAGTTTTAGTTTATCATCAAATTATGTTATTATTTTATTATCTAATATCTCAAATATTGGATCCTGTTTGATGTGTGCAACCTGAGTGCTCTTATTCTGTGTAGATGCCAGCTTTGGTATCAGACCAGGCGGATACTTACAAGTGCTATGCAAGAAATGAGTACGGAACTGCTGTGGTCACGGCAACTCTGAATGTCATTGAAGGTAACATGAGTGTGTGTGCGTGTGCGTGTGCGTGTGCGTGTGCGTGTGTGTGTGTGTGTGTGTGTGTGTGTGTGTGAATGAGGAGACGCATGAGTAAGGTATTGTGTGCCAAACAAGAAATATATTTATGCTTTTTGTATCCTTTTTTTTCTTTCATCTTTTGTTAATAAAATAATACTTATGTTTTGCTGTGCAATTTATTTTTTTGTTTATCATTTGTTCCATATGTCTGCATGTATGTAAGGATTATGTTTAAAAATTCAATACAAATATTGGCAAAAAATACAAATTGGAAGGTAACATAAGATCGGATATGTGATTTTGTTGTATTTAACATTTCAAATCTTTTATCTACAGTTGGTTATAAGAAACATAAAGCCCTTCAAGCCTCACGGACAGGTAGATTCATTGTATATCAGACATATACAGTATATAATTATATATAATATTAATAACGAATCATGCCTAAAATTTCTACTTCTTTACCAGCAATTCGGGAGTTACCTGAAGATTTCAAAAAAGGCCTGAAAAAGTAAATGGGGAAACCATAAATAATAGGTTAAATAGATCATGTCTTTGGTTATTTTTCACATTGGCATTTTTCCATCTTCCCAGTGTGGAGTTTGACACTAAGGAAGAGGAAAAACCAGAGATTGATGAGAAATTCTGGGAATTGCTGATGAGTGCAGAAAAGAAGGATTATGAGAAGATTTGCAGCCAGTACGGAGTGACAGACTTCAGAGGTATGCTGAAGAAACTTAATGAAAAGAAGGAGGAGCGACAGAAAGACACAGAACGGGTATAGTGGCTGTAAACAAATATGAATATGAAAATGATCACATAAATATATATATGATGTATGAACACATGTGAATGAATGCAGGTGGTGGAAAGACTATGCAACCTCAAGCCAGTCGAATTGAGAGATGACGGCAATGCAGAGTTTGAACTAGAGATGTCACTGAAAGACGCAACCAGTAAAATCTTCTTGTACAAGGTAAAGAAGTCCTACCTACTGCCTTCAATACTTGCTAATGGTTTACATTTATTGACTTGTTTTCATCCTAAGTTGATTCAGCTGTTATCTGTAGCCATCTTGATTGGTAAAAAGACTTGACAGGATCTACAGCAAGTTGAGGCTGAGCAAAGTTTTAAATAAGAAACATCATGCATTATTACTTTACTTTTCTATTATTATTACTTCTTACTCTCACTAGTTTCTTTTTCATTTCATGTTTTATAATATTGACTATTTTTAAGAATAAATATCTCATGATGACAGGAATACGACGGGTAAAAGATGCTTTCCGTCTGTAATTCCCTATGCGAACAGCAGAGGTCACTCAAAAAGCTCAAAGCTCAAAACAATATTTTTCTATAAGGCAGGGTTACACTTGGTCCAAGTCCAGATGCATTGTGATTCAAGACACATGCAAATAATGATGATAATATTATATTTTTCCTCCATTTTGTTATCAAAAAACATTTAAATTCCAAATTTAGATTGTTTCTTCTATGTTTACCAAGAGTCTGCAACCATTTGTATATAATAACTACAGAAAGTCATTATATCGTACAGTATCGTACAGTATCCCGGCGTCTAAAATAAAGATTTCTAGTTAAAATAATCAGGATCATGTGTTAAATTCTGTAATCATTGTGTGAGCTACATGAAAGGGGATGTTGAGCTACTAGTAGCTTCCGAATCAGGATGAAGACCCCTGACATGTACTGTTTTGACACATAGGACGGTGTGATGGTGCCTTTTGATCCAGAGACCGAGATTAAACACGGACTGAAACAAGTGGGAAAGAAGTTTGTGTTCAGTATAAACGGAGTGAACCCTGAGGACGCAGGTCTGTACCAGGTGGTCGTGGATGGAGTCAGTGTCTTCTCCACAGACTTGAAACGTAAGTTAAAACCTAAACCAGTGATTTAGATTCAGATTTCAGGTTGCTATATGCACAACTAAAAAAATCATCTTACACTAGAACTCCCAAAGCCGTCAAATCAATATATTCCGGGAAAAATGCCGGGAACTGACATGTAGTGAAAAAAAAAACTATCAAACTTTCCACAATTTTCAAAAGTAAAAAAAAAGTCACATTAAGTATGATAGAAATAAACCAGGTGAAAATACAGTAAAAGTAATGAAGACCAAAAATGCACATGTGATGGGTAAGTACACTTCTAGAGCTAAAAGCCGCCACATTGACTGCTCTAGTGTTCAACACATGGTGCACAAAAGAAAAGAAAAACTGCCTTTGTATACTTATGTGCGACTGTGTATGTGCGGTGTAGTTCCAGGTGCGGAGTTTCTGGTGAAGATAGAAGATGTGAAAGCAGAGGAGCGAGAGGACGCCATATTTGAGTGTGTTCTTTCTCAGCCCTTTACAAAAGTGACCTGGAAAGGGAACAACAAACTCCTGGAACAAGGGGACAAGTTCGACATCATTGTGTCCGAAGACATGCTGGTCCACTCGCTGCTGATCAAAGACTGTTTCGCTCTGGACAAGGGAATTTATTCAGTTACGGCAGGGAATGTGTCCTGCAACGCCTGGCTTGTAGTTGAAGGTATTGTTGAAATGACCTTTTTATTTTGTTTGTTTGTATAGCAAAGTTCATACACAAAGAAACTCAAAGTGCTTAACAAAACAAGACAGAAATATTCACACATTCAATCACTAGCATTCTGTTCATCAAAATTTAGAATCAAAAACATCCATCCATTCATTTTTTTTAAATTTTGGTTTTATTTTGAGAACCAAATGAACGGATGATACACGGGTTTCACTGGACACTGTTTTAACAAAAATATGCAATAGAATTCTATCACTACCACAGAGTATAAGACAGACAAAATCTATATACATATACCCAAACACTTCCCGACCCTACACCCAGTGAGCACCCTTGACTTGACGTTTCTAGACTACAATAAATATGTTTTTCTTCTAATAGTGGATCCAGATCCCAATAATCGCGGAAAGAAGAAGGCTCGCAAAACCACCCGTGCTGGAGGCGGCGGGGCTGATCTCCTGAAGATCGCACAAGAGCAGAATGAAAAGGTTCTGGCAGATAGGGAGGTGCTGATCGCCAAAGCTAAGGCTGACGCTGAAGTAGCCGCCGCAGAAGCCGCCGCCGCTAAGGCTGAAAAGGACGCAGAGGCTAAGGCTAAGGCTGAAGCTAAAGCAAAGGCAATAGCTGAGGCTAAGGCTAAAAAGGCTCAAGCTAAAGCTAAAGCCAAAGCTGAAGCTAAAGCTGCAGCCGGAGGAGAGCCAAAAGAGAAAAAACAAAAAACAAAAGAGAAGGCAAAAGGCGAAGCAGGTGAGGAGGTTGTGGAAGAGGATTCTGATGATGTAGATGAGGGAGATGAGGAATCAGAAGAAGAACTAGAAGAGGGAGAGGAACCAAAACCAAAAACAGAGCTGAAAGAGGGTGAGACTCCAGAGGCAGAGGCTGAAGAAGGAGAAGAAGCTCCAGTCAAGAAGAGGAAGAAGAAAAGAGCTGGCCCCTTGGTGCCTGAGACAGTTGTTGGTGAGAAACATCTGCCATTACATAACCCTCAGCAAGCATGCCAAACTCAGGTCCGTAGGCCAAATCTGGCCCGCAAGACTATGTATAGTTGCCTCTGACATTATTTTCAATTATCATTATTACAGTAACTTGCAGCATTGATGGTAATGGGATACTATGGCAGGTCATACTTCACCTTAAGCTTTTTTTCTCAGGAAAACAACCAAAACTTAATCAATTCTAAAATTCTATAAAGTTTTGATATTCGGCCAAAGATTAATTTTTAATAGTTAAATATCAGTCTTCAATTACATCTCTTCTTTGTGACTGGTCCAGTTGTGGTTGAATCCAAACCTACTGGAAAAGAATATCCAAACATCGGAAGAAGATAAAAATACATTAAAATAAATAATGAAAATACAAGAAAGCCTTCTGGCCCCAACCAGCTCTTATGTTTTTAAATTTGGCCCCTGAACAAAATGAGTTTGTCCCCTATTCTGTATGTTCCAGAGGTTGGAGTATATTTCACAAGTGGTTTGTCAGATGTCACTGCGATCATTGGGACAGACGCTGAGCTGGTTTGCAAACTCAATACTGAGGACTGTGACGGAGTCTGGTACAAAGAAGGAATAGAAGTAAATACAGAATTGGTTCAATGCATTTTGTTAAACACTAAATATGAACCTCTGCGTTTCAGATCACTCCCACAGATGATCTTTGTGTCGTTAAAGAAGGAATGTTCCGCAAAATTATTGTAAAAAATTGCAAAGAAGAAGACGCTGGAAAGTTCAAATATGAAGCTGATGGCCGCAAAACTGAAGCATTGCTCAAAGTTGAAGGTACAATGTTTTTTCAACGTTTTTTATCAAATTAGTTTACTAGATAGTTATATGATAGATAGATGGATGTCTTTATTGATGCCTGTAAGAGAAATTCAGCTGTTCAGCAAGAAAAACACATTCATCCTTACAAAAAAATAAATACTTATTTCTATAAGTTTCTATCAATGGTAATAAAATGAAACAGCACTTTAGGTCCCAGCAGAGGGGATGTAGCCGCTGGGTGCATCAAGCATTAGCATTTTCAAAACAGTGGATTTCTGCTTGGTCTGCTTGGATGGTACCATCCTCTCTGCTCTTGTCTGGATCAGTGTAAAACCCATGAAAACTGTCCTGCATTGTAAAACACAAAACAAAAACCGTTTCAGATTTAAACACATTTAAAAACCTATAACCCTAGGGTAAATAATCTCTTTTTTGTTTCATGTAAATAGATCCACCGCGAATCAACGCTGAAGAACTCGAAGAGTACAAAAAGCCAGTGGCGATCAAAACTGGGAAAGGAGCCTCTTTCCAAGTATCCTTTGTCGGCAGACAGCCCATGAAAATTCAGTGGTTTCAAGATGGAGAGGAGCTTATGGAAGACTCACAAACGAAAATTGAAAGATCTGAGACACACACACGTCTTGTTTTAACAAAGTGCACTCGCAAAATCTCAGGAGAAATCAAAGTCAAGATTAAGAATGAATGTGGAGTGACCGAAGCCGTCACAAACTTGCTTGTATTGGGTATGTTTTCTTCAACATAGCGTTTGATCGATTCCCACAGGTCCCTCCCGTCTCACTCTGTGGTCATTACAGATAAGCCGACGCCTCCCTTGGGACCCGTTGATATCATCGAGAGTTCATCCACTCTCATTGAGTTCAAATGGAGGCCTCCCAAAGATAATGGTGGCGCTCCCATCACAGATTACATCCTTGAGCGGCAGCAGATTGGAAGAAACAGCTGGAAGAAGTTAGGAAAGATTGGTCCTGAGCCCAAATACAAAGACAGTGATGTCGACCATGGCAGGAAGTACTGCTACCACATCAGGGCACAGACCGACCAGGGAGAAAGTGACATGATGGAGACGGATGACATTCAAGCTGGCACAAAGGGTGAGTTCACGGCCACTCCCAAATGGCAAAAGTGCTAGTTACCATAGCAACACACTGTTTACTTACAGCCATTAGTATTTGGTTTTATTTTATTTCAACTATATTCACCAGTTTTAGCTCATAATATAGAAAAAAATTGGAATTGGAATGGGAGCCGTCAAAATGACCCTTACTTCTAGGTTCTTCAAAGTAAACACCTTTTGCTCTGATTATTGCTTCACACACTCTAGGCATTCTCTTGTAAGCTTCAATGGGTAGTGAAGTGTCACTCTGTAGTGTCACGATGTGGTCCAGCTCACCCCAAAACCATCTGGATTGGGTTCAGGTTCAGTGACTGTGGAGGCCAGGTCATCTGGCCCAGCACCCCACCACTCTCCGTATTGGTCAAATAGCCCTTAAACAGACTGTAAAGAGGACATTTTTATAAAAATCCTCTTTCCTCAGCTTGTCAATTACATTTGGCTAATTTGTGTCTTCATATACTGTATACGCATGGCGGCAATGCTCTCCTCTCTTCTGACCATCAGTTCCTAGTACCTACCCTAGGTTTTACTTTTACTTTCTCTGGTGGCCACGTGCTGTCGTTTTTTCTCAAAGGAAGAAATTATAATCCTACAATAACTAATGTAGGGAGTAAAAACAATTCTGTTCAGTATCGCAATATGTTGCGCAAACAAATAAAATGCTACTGTAGTGCAAAGTATCATGGTATTTAAAGAGCGACTAAACACCAAATCAACTTTTTTTAACTCATAAACTGCATAAGTATGTTTATTGTAGTGCTGTCTACATATCCTGGTCATTTTTTTGACATTTTAGTTCAAATTAGATAAAATATCACTTTTAAGCCAAAAAACGTTGTGTGGTGCCCTCTCTACCTTTTTGGTGGTACTACATTTGAATTTGGTTCTGGCCTCTCCATTGACTCTGAAGTTCTCTATGACATCAGTTGTTTTGTGTGACGTCAGTCTGTCAGAGCCAGTGATGTGAACCCATTCAACTCTCACACACGCCCCAGCTGCAGTTTGTAGTATTCTGGCGCCATTTAGTGGATTAAAATTAAATTACATGAGTCATTCTGAGATTATTGAGTGTGATTAGGTTCAGGTGTGTAGCTTTACAATTATCTTAGTGTGTAAACAAGGGTGGAATGAGACTTTCTGGTCTGTAAACTATTGCTTTAAGCAGCAATGACAACTGTCTGTTTTTTTTTTTGTGACAAGTGAGCTGTCAATCACAGCCCAGACCACGCCCAAATCTAAGCCCCCCTTCTTGTCCCTTGGTCCTCCAGGCAACGCCCTTTTTATAGAAAATTTTCAAATCTTCATGTGGGCGGGGTAAGGCTGGGCACAGGTGTTAAGTCGCTCTTTAAATATATATATATATATTTGAGTTTTTATTTGAGTTTACTCTGGTAATTTACATGTGCATTACATCCACAAGGTGGTGCTTGTTTCGGGGCAAGTTCAAATTAAAAGTGTATACACTTCAGTTAATGTGCAGACAATAATAAGTGTGACATTTGACTGGAGCGGTCTTACTTTCTGTAATGCTTTTAAATAAAATGAGCAACTAGAATCAATACTTGTTGAATCGCAATATGTTAAGAATTGCATTTACATTACATTGTGGCCCAAATATCGTAGTACTGTTGAGCATAACATTTTTGCCAATTCCCACCTCTAATTATCACTTGGTCTGCGGAGGATAAGAGTTGTACGTTTCACTGATACGTCCTCAAAGGTGTGGGACAAGGAAACCTTAGCTGAAACAATGTGACATCTTTCTTCTGTTACTAACTATATAATTTCTATTGTTTTAGCTAAATCCAAAAACTTCAGATGAACCATTGATTGTCATTTAATAAAGAGTAGAGATAGATCATGTCCCCTGTAAAGACCTCTAATGTGTGATTGTAGTCTATAGACGCTAACCTTCAACCGGGAAAACATGTTATCAATAATCGTTCATTAAAAAGGAAATGGGACTTAATTTAACTAATTTCTTGGTCATGTAATTCAATGTAGCATACCCTGGAGCTCCTTCCACACCAAAGATCGAGAGTGCTTTTAAAGACTGCATTAACCTCATATGGAATGCACCATCTAACACTGGAGGGACTGACCTGTTCGGATACAATGTGGAGAAACGCAAGAATGGAAGTAATAGATGGGACCAAGTCAACCCCCCCAATCAGTTCATCAAAGGTAATCATTTTTCACTTTAATCATGTAGATTTTTCGACACCAATGAATAATCCTCTGAATTGGTGGTAAACTGAATCTGAATCTTGTCAGAAAGAAAATATGGTGTGAAGGATGTTGTGGAGGGCTTTCAATATGAATTCCGCGTGTCTGCTGTGAATATTTCTGGAGCTGGAGAGCCAAGTTCACCCTCAGAGTTTGTTTTTGCAAGAGATCCTAAAAGTAAGTGATGTAATGTGTGAGATTCTATATGTTTTATGTATATATTCACTACTGCATGAGCACAAACAGGACAGTACACAGCAAAAAGTGAGTCCTTGATCTCTTTGTTCCATTGGCAAATCTTGTTTTAAGACACTCAAAATGTGCTCAAATTAAGATGAAGACATGTTGATTCAAGGGGCGACAGTAGCTCAGTTGGTAGAGCATTGGCCTTCAGGCCTGAAGGTCGTGGGTTCAATTCCCACCTCGACACCTTCTCCACCGACTCCCACTGATGACTGCTGTCCCCACTTTGCCCAAAGCCCCCACTGAAAGATCAAGACTATGCTCACACTCAGAGAGCAGCCGTCCTCCTGTGGACTCACCACCTGCAGAGGGTCAGTGAGGGGCTGGTGCTATGAGACTTGGGTGGCATCTCTGATTGCACCCCCCTGACCCAGAAATGGATTAAAGGGAAGAAAATGGATGGATGGACATGTTGATTCAGGAAATTATCATCTCATATTTTAGATTTTTTTTGCAGTGTAGTGAAGGGTTGTCTGAGTGGGACACCTACAGTAGCTTGGGTTCAAGTTCAACTTAACGTTGAAGTTCAACTTAACGTTGAACTTGAACTCCACAAATTGCCTCCATTTAAAACTTTTGCCTTGAAATCATGCAATTACTGTCAGAAAATTGGATTTAACCTGTGACTATTAACACAATATGTAATGAGGCAACTGCAGTTTAAATCTTAGAGATGACATTATGAAACCTTATTATTTTTCAGAGCCTCCAGGAAAAGTCCTTGACCTGAGGGTGACGGACTCTACATACACCACTCTTTCTCTGCAATGGACGAAACCTATAGAGGATGAAGGGGTCCAAGATGAAGCTAAAGGTTACTTTGTGGAGCTGAGACCTGCAGAGAACCCAGAGTGGGGCCGCTGTAACTCCAGTCCCATTATCATCACCTCTTACACTATAATGGGCCTGAAGTCTATGGCCATGTACTGGGTCAGGGTAGTCGCCACGAATGAAGGGGGAGATGGAGAAGCACAGGAATTGGAAAACTACATCATTGCAATGCCGCCACCAGGTATGAAATTGTGCGTTCATAAGCAAGAGATTAAACAACTGTCAAGTGATTAAATGGAAAAATAGATGAGTACATTTCAAGCCAAGGTATTGTTTGTCAAGAGACTGCAACGAGTGATGAAAAATAAGTCAAAAGTTGATGTGCCAATGGGACAAGAACAAATGATCATGTTTTTAAAATGAACAAGACATGTCTCCTTTGGAATGAGAAAATAAAGCAACAGTTCTTGAAATAAAACTAAATGGCTTTGCCCCATTGGCAAATCTTGTTATATGACAGTCAGGATGTACTTAGATTAAGATTAAAAACTACACAATTCTAGCAAATATTATCTCATTACTCATATAAATATGTACTCAATAATAACGTAATTCATGCACAAAGCAACTTCAAGTGCTTTACAAAACAAGAAAGAAAAGAGCAACATATCATGGACGGCAAAAGCTCCATTAACTAGCCTAACTAGCCTAAAATGTTCTTTTCCTTCAACAGTGAGACCCCAGTTTACAGACCGAAAAATGAACAATTTTATGGTCATGAAAGCAGGGAATTCTGTGCGAATCAACTACAACTTTGTGGTTAGGACTCAAATTAATTTAAACTTTAATTTAATGAATACTGGTATCTTAGACTGCAAATCTGAGTCATGTTTTTGTTTGCAGGCCTCCCCTTTGCCCAAAATTACTTGGCTCAAAGACAGCCTTCCTGTGGGTAAAAATGTGACTGTGAGTAATTCCGATACATCCTCCCAGTTAATCATTGCGTCAGCTGAACGTCACGACACTGGCATTTACACCCTGCTACTAAAAAACCTTGTGGGCCAAGAAACCACCAGCGTAGAGATCAGAGTAACAGGTAAATCCTTCTTCCCTCAAATGGCAATCCAAAACAACAGTATCTTTCACACAGCTGGTAATGTGCAGATGAACCAAAGCCTCCAGGCCCCGTGGAGCTGGAGGAGAATGTGTCTGGAACAGTGACTGTGTCCTGGGCTGCCTCTCCGGACGAGAAGAAAGATGACCGTCTGCATTATATGATCACTAAACGGGATTCTGTGAAGCGCGCGTGGCAGATTGTGGCAGATCACCTCTTCAATAACAAGTTCACAGTCATTAACATCATGCCAGGAAGACAGTACTATTTCAGGGTCTACGCTAAGAACGACATGGGGGAGTCCAAACCCAGTGAGTCCCCGGTCTGGGAGGTCAAAAAGAAGAAGGGTAAGTTACAACCGAACCCTTTCCCCTGGTCACTTCATATCATTCATGAAGATAAATAAAAATACTGGGCCAAAACATAGCTTTCTTAGTAGTTTAGGAAGGTTCATCATGTCTTGAAGAATAAGGATAAACACCTGACAAATGTAAGATAGCAATGTTATTACCATGTTCTCTTCTGAGGAAGATGGAAACTGGTGAAACATGTCAAGATAATAAAATCTAATGAATGTATGATGCTGGATCTAAGGCAATTAACAATAGTGTTCAAATTTAACATCTTATCAAAATATGTGTCTTAGTTCTCTCGGGTTTTAGCGCAAGGGAAATCTGATTTGTTTTCTCTTCACCGAGGGGCAAACAGAATAAGTGGATTTTTTTCCCCCACTTTATTAAGAACCAAACCAACAGTGCAACTGCAATATATTCCTCTAACAACCTTATAAACTGTGTTTTACTTGGTTTCTGTTGTGTTTTTCTTTTTTGGGACTGTCTCCAGTGTCATTAACAGATTTGTAGAGTGAACTATTTGGATTTATGAAAATACTATCCTTCAATGGAATAAACATTAAACGTGTGATGGTGTTCCTGTTCATACAAAAACATGCATAGCCTAAATACATTAACGGGCACGTACAATAAGAATTATATGAAACGTGATTTTTTTGAGACAAACAGTACATTACCAACCCAACTTTTCTTAAGACTAACTCATCAGAAGAATATAGTATTCATACTCTTGTAGGGTAACAATATTACAGTAAGCTATAAATTTAGTAGTGTGGAGCGGCTAGTCTCCGGATCAGAAACTCGCCGTTCCACCAATGGGTCTGTCTTATTTATTTTGGGCACCAGTAGACGTTTTGAGGGTCTACGACAGATCCAAACCAACTTTTGCCTCGAGTCAGTCTTATAAATCTAAAAGGTAGTTAATTCGTAAATCGGCCAGGGATATTCCGAGATCTAACAACACGACTCTGATAGGATTGAGTTAAAGAAAAGGGGTTTTATTGATTACAAAATGAAGGTAAAAATATAACGAAGGGGATTTCTGGTCACATTAAAGCAGGAGTGGTATACATTTCATTCAAATCACACATTCAACAAGAACAGTCTTACTTTGTAGGAGCGTAGAGGATGGAGGAAGGATTTGGGTTGGGGAATCGGCCCACGTGGTTCCTGTGTCTGGGCAGGCGGGAGGTACAAAGCCAGCGAGTTGGTCCAGCTGCTGATTCACGCGTATGCAGCCCAGTCCGGAATGGGTTGCGTGCGTAGAGTCCAGAGCCACGAAAAGAGGCTGGTGATGAACAGTTCATAAGGTCCCGAGCCGAGGAGAGTGTGTTTTGCGGAGTAGGAGGCCCGATGCGTGCAGGCGCGACCGTAGTAGGAGACACGTGCCGCGGGACGCAGATGGGCCGGGGTGGTTGGAATGGTGATTTCAGGAGAAGACAAGAGGAAGTCTACTGGCTCGCAGACTGGTTTTGTTGTGGTCAAAGTGGGCGCGTCCGTGACGTCATATTTGGGCGTCTTCCTTGGACGACCTCCTCACAACAGATATGTTAAAAATGGGAACACACAGGATTAATACAGACGATCATAACACATGTACAAACACACACCGAATTCCATTACTTTGACATTGATACACACATGTAAGGTCTGCAACGGTTATCAATCATAATATCATCGAATAATGTCCTTTTTCGAGTGTTCGTCTTGGGTGCGGTAGCGTCCAGTGTCCGCTAGGGAGCGTCAGAGGGCCGCGGGTGGAGTCTTTGATTGTCCGGTGGCAGGAGTCCTGGGAGCGAGAGCAGGGTTGTGATCTTTGATCTCTACAGGCAGGCAGAGACAGAGGTGCTTATCCCTGTGGTGACTTTATTGCTCTTTTTGGCATCTGTAATCCCCATGATCAATGATAGTCCTCCGGCCGACCTCGCTGTTCCTTTGAAGCTGCAGTGGGACGTCTTCCTCCTTTTGGTCGAATGTGTACACAAGACAGGGCCTGGCTCTGTTTTACGGCCCTGTCCCTTATTTAACCTTACATACCCCCCCCACGGCAGAGATGCACCTTCCGACAAGGTGCATGTCATGTCGGATATGCCGGGCGGGTGTCCTCGGTCGGTCGTCTCGCCTGTTCGGGTGTTAGTGCGTGATTTGTGGTGACATGTTACAACATTCTCGCTTCAATGTGACTCAGCAATTCGCAAGCGCCTAACTGGGGCCAGGCTCGTGGCGGTTGGGTCTCGGGCCTCCGGCTTGGTTTGTCGAGGCCGGGTTTTCTCTAAGGCGAGTCCTGGCCCTGCAGGCTAGTTCTAACCGGGATCAGGGGTTTTAGGGAGTGAGCTCCGGCCGTGAACTCTAAGGTTTGGGCCGGTGCGCCTGACTCCTGGGTCTCTTGGTCTGGAAGACTCAAAGTCCCAAGCCAAGAGAGTAGCAGGAGTTTCTACTTTAGGGGACTAGGATACAAAATAGGAAACTTCAAAAATCAAAAAGGGTGGCTGTCTTGGCAGCGGGTAGGAGCGTCATTAAGGCACTTGAGGGGTTCCCATCTTTGCTCGTTCAAGAGGGGAGTATAAGGGTTACACAAATATATGACGTAGCAAGTGGGGCTTTAATTACGAGGGACATTTCCTGTATATAAACGGGGATGACAGGTATGATTGTCTAGGGGACTGATTAGGTATCGAGGTAGATATGTTTGGATCTGAGTTGGTGACTCTTAGTGGGGTTTTAGGCCCTTGGTTCACCTTCTGTGATAGAAAGAGTGACCGTCTCGAGTGGGTGGCTTTGGGGGTCCTCGTACTCTGATTCGTTGACCCGGGGGCGCCGACTTAAACTGCCACGCTCGACGGCGCTGTCGCCCCGGTTTGGTCGTTTACGGATCTGTCTCGTCATTGCCTCCGTGCACCTGTTAAAGCTACCGCGGAGTCGTCTAATCCGTCTATTTGGGACGAAGGCCATGGCTACGGCCAGAATGTCCTCAACGATAGCGGCACGAGGTATGGCGGGATACGGCCCATGGCTAGGTTTTCGATCGAGGAACTGAGGTGGCGTAGCATGTCCTCCATCAGTTGGGTGGTCAGCTGAGTATGGGCGTAGTCTAGTTGGAGGACGTCTAAGAGTTGGTTGACCGCAGCGGAGGTGCGTTTAATCGCAACCTCGTGCGTGTTAAGTACTAGCATGGTTCCTTTCAGGGACTTTCCCAAGGTCACCACGTCGTTCTGTTGTTGGTCAAGTCTGGTTTTGACATCCTCGAGCTCAGAGGCCATTTCCTGTTGGTGACGTCTGAGGGAGGATAGGCTGATGGCGTTTACCGTGGACATCCCTAAGCTAAAGAGGGTGCCCAGGGCGGACGCCGCGCCGAGGAGAGCCCCAATAAATCGTTTGGGTCTGGGGCGAGGGTCACTGAGCTCTGTCCTAGTGATCGTGAACTTCTCTAGTTGCGTCAGCATGTGTTGTATGTCTGCCTCAGCATGCTCCACGACCGTCTGGGTCCAGCGTGCACCTGCCCAATCTTTGAGTGTGACCTTCAAGGGCAGGTTCTTGCGGCAGACTTCACTAGGATTGAGTCTGACAAAGATTCGCTGTGTGTGGAGTCGGACATCCGTGATGAGGAGCCCGGGTTGTTCCTTTAAAACGATCCCGGAGGCTGGTCCGGTCTCAATAATTTCTGGGGTGCCGAGACCCAGTATGCAGGTCAGCACGAGAAGGAAAGTGGGCCACATGTTCTGCAAGGCGGTGAAACAACTGTTAGGGGTTAGACAGAGACAGAGGAAGAGAAAGTCGATTAGTGCAGCCGAGAGGAGTGTTGGTGAGTGCTGGGCTAATCGTGTTTGAGGTCACGTGGTGTGTTCCTAACTGGGGTTTGAAGTGTGCCCTGCTTGTCCCATGGGGCTTTGTTTGTGTGGTTTGGTTTGGCTGTAACGGGCCCATCTGAGGGTGGGCTCTCTACCTTTTGTGACCTCGATTTGGTGCACTGCGGTTGAGAGTTTGTTTCCCACCCTGTATGGTCTTGACCAGCGGGGTAGCGATTTCCGGCGTAGTCTGGTGGGGCGGTCCCCGCGTGTCCTGGGGAGTGTGCCAAGGTGTAATACCATACCTGGTTTTTGACCTGGGGGTGGTCCTGCGGGTCGGTCCTGTATTGGTTTGTCCTCAGGCGCCGGGGGAGTTTCACGTTCTCGTCACTCCGGTTTGGGGATACGTACCTTAGTATTTCGGTCGCCGTTCGGTCCGTTGTTTCTACCTGTTGTAGTGCCTGACGTGTGTTGTTTATACCTGTTTGTTTCGCGGTAGGTGCGTCATGGGCGTGTGCCAACATTACCCCCCTCATGCTTCGAGGCACCACGAGTACCGACGAAGTGAGTGTATCGGAAGCAGAATCTAACAGCCCATGGCGTATCGGCATTATTTCTTCATCACGGCCGGGGGTTCCGAGCGTCGTGTCGATCGTGACGTCGAAGGGGCGTTCTAGTGTGGGGTTGTCGTGTCGAAGGGAGGCTAAGTCCGACCTGTCGAGGTCGGGGGCCGTCCCCCCCCAGTCCGGGTAGTCCCGTTGGCCTAGGGTTAAGTCCTGGCGTGCGTCAGGGGGGTCGCCGTGGGGTTGTCCTCCATGTTTGGGGAGGTCCCCGGCGTTCCCATCGCGGGTCACTGGCCATTGTGTCGCAGCATATGCGGACGGCCCAGACTTGGGGCACCGTAAGTCGTGTGGTCCATGTAGCATGTTCAGGTGTGGGCCAGGGGGGTCGTTGTAGGTTTGTCCGCTATGTTGAGGGCGGGCCCTTTCGTCCCAATGGCTGCAGTCTGAAACATGTCTCGTATGGACGTCAGGTGGGCCAGGGTCATGGGTCGGATAGTCATGTTGTCTGTGTCGCATGTCCATGTGTGTTCCCGGAGGGGCGTCGTGGGGGTCGCAGTGGTCGACGTGTCCAATGTTGGGTTGTGTATTGTTCCTATGACCTTGATTTTGGTCCTTTCCCGTCATGATACTTACCAGTTCGGCCACG